CCTACCCCTTACCCACCTCCCCTCTTGTCTACCCACCTCCCCTCTTGTCTACCCACCTCCCCTCTTGTCTACCCACCTCCCTCTTGTCTACCCACCCCTTACCCACCTCCCCTCTTGTCTACCCACCTCCCCTCTTGTCTACCCACCCCTACCCACCTCCCCTCTTGTCTACCCACCTCCCCTCTTGTCTACCCACCCCTTACCCACCTCCCCTCTTGTCTACCTACCCCTTACCCACCTCCCCTCTTGTCTACCCACCCCTTACCCACCTCCCCTCTTGTCTACCTACCCCTTACCCACCTCCCCTCTTGTCTACCCACCCCTTACCCACCTCCCCTCTTGTCTACCTACCCCTTACCCACCTCCCCTCTTGTCTACCCACCTCCCCTCTTGTCTACCCACCTCCCCTCTTGTCTACCCACCTCCCCTCTTGTCTACCCACCCCTTACCCACCTCCCCTCTTGTCTACCCACCTCCCCTCTTGTCTACCCACCCCTTACCCACCTCCCCTCTTGTCTACCCACCTCCCCTCTTGTCTACCCACCTCCCCTCTTGTCTACCCACCCCTACCCACCTCCCCTCTTGTCTACCCACCTCCCCTCTTGTCTACCCACCCCTTACCCACCTCCCCTCTTGTCTACCCACCTCCCCTCTTGTCTACCCACCCCTTACCCACCTCCCCTCTTGTCTACCCACCTCCCCTCTTGTCTACCCACCCCTACCCACCTCCCCTCTTGTCTACCCACCCCTACCCACCTCCCCTCTTGTCTACCCACCTCCCCTCTTGTCTACCCACCCCTTACCCACCTCCCCTCTTGTCTACCCACCTCCCCTCTTGTCTACCCACCTCCCCTCTTGTCTACCCACCTCCCCTCTTGTCTACCCACCTCCCCTCTTGTCTACCCACCTCCCCTCTTGTCTACCCACCTCCCCTCTTGTCTACCCACCTCCCCTCTTGTCTACCCACCCCTACCCACCTCCCCTCTTGTCTACCCACCCCTTACCCACCTCCCCTCTTGTCTACCCACCCCTTACCCACCTCCCCTCTTGTCTACCCACCTCCCCTCTTGTCTACCCACCCCTTACCCACCTCCCCTCTTATCTACCTACCCCTTACCCACCTCCCCTCTTGTCTACCCACCCCTTACCCCCCCCCCCTCTTGTCTACCCACCTCCCCTCTTGTCTACCCACCTCCCCTCTTGTCTACCCACCTCCCCTCTTGTCTACCCACCCCTTACCCACCTCCCCTCTTGTCTACCCACCTCCCCTCTTGTCTACCCACCTCCCCTCTTGTCTACCCACCCCTTACCCACCTCCCCTCTTGTCTACCTACCCCTTACCCACCTCCCCTCTTGTCTACCCACCTCCCCTCTTGTCTACCCACCTCCCCTCTTGTCTACCCACCTCCCCTCTTGTCTACCCACCTCCCCTCTTGTCTACCCACCCCTTACCCACCTCCCCTCTTGTCTACCCACCTCCCCTCTTGTCTACCCACCCCTTACCCACCTACTCTCTTGTCTACCCACCTCCCCTCTTGTCTACCCACCTCCCCTCTTGTCTACCCACCCCTTACCCACCTCCCCTCTTGTCTACCCACCCCTTACCCACCTCCCCTCTTGTCTACCCACCTCCCCTCTTGTCTACCCACCCCTTACCCACCTACTCTCTTGTCTACCCACCTCCCCTCTTGTCTACCCACCTCCCCTCTTGTCTACCCACCCCTTACCCACCTCCCCTCTTGTCTACCCACCCCTTACCCACCTCCCCTCTTGTCTACCCACCCCTTACCCACCTCCCCTCTTGTCTACCCACCCCTTACCCACCTCCCCTCTTGTCTACCCACCTCCCCTCTTGTCTACCCACCCCTTACCCACCTCCCCTCTTGTCTACCCACCTCCCCTCTTGTCTACCCACCCCTTACCCACCTCCCCTCTTGTCTACCCACCTCTTGTCTACCCACCTCCCCTCTTGTCTACCCACCCCTACCCACCTCCCCTCTTGTCTACCCCCCCCCCTCTTGTCTACCCACCCCTTACCCCCCATTTGTCTACCCACCCCGTATCCACTTCCCCTCTTGTCTACCCACCCTCTTGTCTACCCACCCCTTACCCCCCATTTGTCTACCCACCCCGTATCCACTTCCCCTCTTGTCTACCCACCCTCTTGTCTACCCACCCCTTACCCCCCATTTGTCTACCCACCCCGTATCCACTTCCCCTCTTGTCTACCCACCCTCTTGTCTACCCACCCCTTACCCCCCATTTGTCTACCCACCCCGTATCCACTTCCCCTCTTGTCTACCCACCCTCTTGTCTACCCACCCCGTATCCACCTCCCATGGTTGATAACTCACACTGTGCTAGGGTCATATAGGCCTAAATGTTCCTATACTCACACTGTCATCTGGGTCTTAATTACTTCCCACCAATCCACACACAAAAATACATCAGACAAATACACCTTTACCTCTCTCGCCTAGGTGTCAAGAAACATACAAAACCACACAGAGGTGAAAAACACACACCTCACCATCTCAGGCAGAAACGTGTCAGATACACACACCTCACACATTATACACATGTCAACAAGTACACCTACCCTTACCATACACCTCACACATCACACACATGTCAACAAGTACACCCACCCCTACCATACATCAAGAAGGCGTCGCTAACTAAGATGCTCACCGCTGAGGGTAACGGTTCGAATCCATATTCTAATCCCCCTCCCCAACACACACACGCATCACTCTTCTCCCTAGAAACATATTTCTATTTTTATGTTTCTGTCTTTTATATAGATATCATAGACATACAAATAAATACATACATACGTACAGTGTACAAGTATGTATGTGTGTGTTCATTTGTGGTTAGACATTCTCTTTCAGTGACGACGTGTGCTCTTCCGAAAGGAGTTCATTAAATTTTTCAGTGAAAAAAAAACAACTGTCCAAAACAGTAGAAAAAATATCTGCTGGTGTGATCGTAAAGTAGATTCCCACTACCCATCCCTGGGAGCCGTCAAAAAAACAGCAAGCCTAGTTCAGTTTAAAACAAAATAAAACCTCTTATATATATATATATATATATATATATATATATATATATATATATATATATATATATATATATATATATATATATATTTATATACCAGTAGACCATAATGAGCCAAGCTGTAGGTTATGTAATCACAAATAGGTATGTATGTGGGGTGACCTCTTACCTCACTCGGTCGTGGTGATTTAGAATCTACTGACAGGTTTTGTCAAAAAGTGCATCAGCACATCTGACAGGGCATTTACTTTTACTAAAACAGCTGTAAAATATTTAAATAGCCATCTCAGTCATACGGGTCCAGAGTTTCTTCCAGGCATCTCTTCGAACAAAATGGAATTTATAAATTATATAGAAAATATATACTTTAAACAGTGTCCCCCCCCCCCCCCCCCCCCGAAAATTTCAAGAATCAAGTGCACCCCCGGAGAAAAAAGTCTGGAAGAAACACTACACGGGTCTTTGAGCTTTTGTTGTGGGAGTCCATTAAAAATTATATCGTGATCATCATCGCAAGGTGATGTTACTTTTTATTTTAGTGTTACCCCATTAAGCTGTCTGGTCACCTTCATGACGTCACGCCTAATGATAGAATCCAATTTATTGAGTAGACCATAATCCTTAACAATAGAATATTCTTTGGTTCATCTTTTTCTTCTTTCGAAGGGGCCCACTATAAAGTACCAGCAGGTAAAGAATCCACTCTTTAAAAATGTGGCTACACATTAATGCTTTATTTATACAATGGTACTTTTCACGTGAACACTGAATGATTAAACCTGCATCTAACGATCCAGTCACAATGTTAACAATGAGATATTAATCAATCCACTCAATTTAATTGGGTAAAGACGTCTAATCGATGAACCCATCTTTCAGATGCCATATTTAACACATCCATTGACCGAGACTATTTAAACAAACAAGAAAGAGAAGTAACTAAAAACACAATTGTTTGTGTCTTTATTTATAATTAATGTTATTCCAAAAACGTATAAGCCTTAACTACCGGTGCCGTTAAAAAATCCATTCTCTCAATGCTCTACTGACGTCATAACAAATAGACCGTACACGTAACGCCACAACGTTTTTACGACGTTTAGTTCAAGGATTAAATGTAGATGTAGATCACTTCCCCCCCCCCCCCCCCCCCAAATATAGATCTAGATCTAAAAAAAAAAAAAAAAAAAAAAAAAACCGATAGTATTCCGAAAGCAGGTTAGTCTAACAGCAAAATAAAAATGACGTTGATTAGGCCTAAATTATTATATTAATCAAATATTATGTCACTTTTAATACACAGACGATTCTCAAGTTAAAATTGATAATGAATTGCTTCCAAAATTCAAAATAATTAAAGAAATTATGTAATAAAATACCTTTAGGCCTAGATCTAGTGCCTTTAGGTCATCATTTCCTAGGTATTTATAGTTTTAATTTTTAACAAAGGCTGTCGCTAGAATTAAGTGGGGCCATTATTGTATTGCTGTGTGTTATATTGAGTATAAAATTTCTGATTTAAATGATTTTTAACATATTGGCAAAAATAATAAATAGTGTATATGGGATTAAATATGTGTATTTGAGGAATTTTAACTGACGAGTGAGGAATGAAATTACTATAAATAACAAATTCATAAGACCAAAAATGTAAAGACGGTTCACGAATGTATTTTCAGAGTAGTTTCCCTTATATTTTTATTATTTTTAACTATCCAAAATATCGCTACGCTGTCTAACAATGTTCGCTAAATATATTAGTCTAAATTGTTTATATTGAATAAATACTATGCATTTGGTTATATAAAAGTTTTTGAAATCTCTTGACTTTTAAAAGTTTCAATAGTAATTTACATTTAACAGATACGGGTATATTTTATTACGGCCTTTTTTCTTTGCGTACGAATATCCGATTCAGAATGGTATTTATTTCCGTGTTCTCAATTTGCAAACATCAGTCCTACGATCTCGGGCTGGCGTATATATACTGTTGTATGATGCAAACAGAGCCAGTCGACTGCTATTTTGTTGTTTTTCTGTGTCATCGTTATTACAGTTTAGCTTCTGTCAGTCATAGTAAACACTTCGACGGTGGAACTAACCAGTGTGTTGGTAGTGGAATATTCAATGGCTGAATCTTTGATAAACATTGGCATTATAGCTCAGCAAGAAGAAATGGTTAAAGCCGACGTCGATTCTGGGGATTATGAAGATTCATCCAGCGGCAGTGATAGATCTTACGAGGGAGACGATTTTGACAACAACAGCCGAGGTGATTCCGGATCGGGTGGCACTCACGTAAGTGCCCATGCAATTCGCCCCCGAAGAAAACGGCGTCACGGTAGTCATGGCAGTAGACGACATAAAGGGGGTAGTCGGCACAAGCACAAAAGTGTACAGTACAAGCCTTATCCCCCTCGAGAAGAGATAAAGCTTAAAAGAAAATCTCAAGAACTCCAGGAAAAAGAAAACGCTGCTGCTGTTGTCCGACGCGATGGTGCTGATCAGCAGTATATGACTTTTCCAGTGGCTCCATTTAATTCTACCCAGTATTTGATGGATGAGCACAGTGTTAGCTCCCCTGCTGGATTAAGTAAAACTCCTAGCAGTTCAAGGCTTAATCAACTATCTCCACAAAGCCTTACAATACACTCTGTGCCATCAACACCAGCTGATGGTAACCATGGGTGTATACACTTTACCAAAAAAGACAAAGAATTTACTGACATCTACACAACTGTTCATGCTGAAAGTTTGCAAAGTCTCCCCAAAGAAGAACTTGTCAAGCATTACATGAGTCTTGAAGAAAAAGTTGCAGCCCTTCAGAAAAAAGTTGCGGAGGCTGAACAGATGAAGCAGGATGATGACTTTGGGACAAAGATGTATGATGGGGACAAGGACTGTGTTTGTGATTCAGTTTGCTGCTCTGATACAAATTCATTATCAAGCAGTAATGAAGAATATGTTGACCTCAATGTAGTTAACTCAAGCCTCATTTCAGTTGAAGCTCAAGTCTGTCCCACTTCAAACAACCCTGAACTGTTATGTGAAGCCAAAGCCAGTGTTGTTAGTTAGTGATCAGTATTATTAGGTATTGTATTGATAGAAAACTTGATGCTTTAAAACTATGTAATACTTTACAAATAGATCTAACTACTATATTAAGATAACTTATTGATGGTCAGGTTATTAGGCCTACAGTGAACATTGTTTAATATTTATTTAAGCAGTATGATTTTATTTTACTAGGCCATCACTTTCTTCTGTGACCATAATACAATAGAGTTGCTGCTTTTTAAAAAAAAATTTCATTAGGCTTATTCACTTTGTCACATGTTAATTAATGTTTAAAAACAACAATGATTATTTCTTGTAATTTGGTATTGATTCTTTACCTTAGATTTTTAACTTATTTTAGTTTCAGTAATTTGCTACACTACACAATTTTGCCAGACATCAAAATTTACACTCAGCATTAGATGACATATGGGTATATAAAATTTAGGTTGACCGTTTAAACATTTGTGGAGAGATGTAGGCCTATTCATTCTGCTTAGTCTTTCTTCCATATGGTCTGCATTTTTTCAATGTGAGTTCTTTAATGGTTTTGTCATCTCTTTATTTTGCTTAAGTTGTTTACTGCATAGTTTCTGTTAAAAAGTTGATTAGTGGCATTGTTAACTATTGTATGCCCACTAGTTAAATGTTTTTTCTTTAAAAGTTATGAATGAAGCATGAATTATCTAATGTACGGTAGTTTAAAAGAAAGTTCTATTGTTTTCAAAAGTCAGACTTGTGCAAATGTTTTACATAGCTACTCCTGCATCATCCATTATATGTAATCATGCTATCATGTGCCATGCAAGAAACTATTACCTGCATTTGTTTTTCAAGATTTCCAAATGTGTGTCAGATTATGTTAAACATCTTTAAATTTTTTAGTTTCCTTTGTTTACTTGAAGCATTTCCTGCTAACTTTCATCAATTTTTTTGTCAATACTGTTTTCAAGATTATGTATAGATCTAGTGTATCAGAAAATTTGTTTTTAATTTTAAATTTGCTACTTCTGTTTTAGATATTATGCATTTTTAAACCAAATTAAATTTATAGGTGTATACATTTTTTTCATTTGTTTTATCTTAAGTGTAATTAGTAATAAAAAATGCATTCCGTTCTGTATGTGGACAAACTTTTACATCATTGTCGGTCATGGTGTTAAGATAACCCTGGTTCTGTGAAAATTAGGCAACTGAACTCCTTTCCTGGTCTTGTGTGATTTAAAAACTTTGAAATTTGGTTACTCAAATATATCTATCCTGCCTCCATAAACATGCATAAGGTTAGCGTGGGTTGTGGCACACTGGTTCTAGAGTAGGCTCTTTCATCCTGTTCTGTTATGCTTTTACTTGAACCTTAAGTTTTGCTCTATTGTATTTTTAAAACTTGTGTCCTTTTTAACCATCAATTATGCTGTAATTTTTTAAAACCCATACTTGCCAAGACTAGTAATGTTGCCAGTAAAAGTGCTAAAATTATGGTTTGTAGTTTTATTGGCAAATAATTCTAACATGCATATATAATGCAGTTGTTGTAATAATCTTATGTTCTCTGCTCATATTGCAGTGTTTTCAGACTGGTGTCTAAATTACTTGCATTTCTTTTGATGTGCCCATTATTAAATATAATTTCACAAGTCATTTAATTTATTGCAGTTTTTTCTTTAAGAAGTTGAAATTGAATGCAATTGTAAACTAAAGACATACCGAACTAGTCTTGTTTATAAGATTTTTATACTATATTAGTATATTATCATGATTTACAATTTAAAAAACTGCATTTAGATGCTGTGAAGATTTCTTTTTTTTTTAAATGAAAAGCAAATTTTAATTCTTCATATACTTCACCAAAACTAGTAGGTATGTAATGTAGTCAGGCAGCACATTTGAATGAGGGCATTTGAGTCTTTTATTTACCTTAGTAATCATTGAGTCATAAGTTACTATTCATATACAGTACACCATATTGAAATTGTAAAAATGTATAACAAAAGTATACCTTTACAGTACAGTGAAGGATTTTTAAACCAATTGAGAGCTGTTAGGAATCTCAGTTTTTTTTTGTCTACGTACTACTTGATCTAGTTTAAAGAAAATGTTATAATTTTCGTTTTAAATTTAGGAGGTAACTTTTTGTTGGTTAACTTCTGAACTATTCCTATCTTAAAATAATTGGGTAGGATATTTTGAACTTGAGCACATATTTTGAAATACCTGTAGGGCCTACTTGCAATTCTTTAATTCCTCAGTAATATAGCTTAGATTATACAAGGGATATAATTTTACCATTATATATATTGTTTTGGTTATTGCCCTTGAATTATTGATTATTTGCATGTAATATTGAAAATGTTAATGCAGGTGTTAGTGATAATGTTATATAATCTGTATCTGATGAATTGAATAAAGGCTTTCTTCAAAATTAGCATGTTTATCATCTAAAGATTACTTGGCATTAGATTAATGCTTTTTGAATGCAAATAATAAAATGATTAGATGGGGAAAATATCTCATACAGGTTTTAACTTTTTTTTTAATTAAAAAAAAAGCATTTTCTAATGATAGGTAATCTTTTCTCCTCAGTTGTTCATGTTTGTAGTTGAGGTTTTTTTTTTTATTTGAAAAGGGAAAGAAAAAGTGTAGTAACAAACATTGATGCCAAAAAAACTCACTATCATCTGTTCGGCCTATCACCTCATCTGAATGCAAACCAAAATATTAAAGTCAATAAAAAACTTAGTCTCAATTTATTGTATCTTGTACCCAGTATATAGCCATATATTGTGTTATTTTTATACAAAATATTTTAGCACAATATTTGTGACGCATTTTGCCATGGTCTTTCCTTTTTCAAGTTTGTTGGGTGTTTAACTCAACATGTTATTTTGATATTTTCCATGTATGAAACATATTATATCATTTTGTTCATACATGTTTATTTTTCTTTTATATTAAAAGTAAACAATGTTATATAACCACAGTTTTGTATCAGTTTTATTATCTGTAGATCAGATAGAGCTTGGTTATGAAAGGTCTGTGGTCAGTTGGTGGGGAAACCTACAAGTGTAATAGTTATAGTGATAGATCTATTCACACTGACTGCTGTCGTGGTTTCTTACCATTCAGTGCGAATGATAGGACAGGTACTAGAATAATTCAGAATATTGAAATAACATTAACATGATTTTTAAAATAAATGTCATTGCTAAATAAACTTGGGCTTATGGAGGAATTAACCACTACGGAATAATTCAAACAAGTTATTAAAAGTAATAAAAGACAGTTAATTAAGGTTGCTTTGTACAGTTTCATTTTTTAAAAATGGATCCCAATAAAGACGATAAAGTAATGTACATGTATTGTTTTATTGTGTTCTGTTGCTGCGGGTAGAAGTGGAAGCTGTTCACTTACTAGTAGTTTGTTACGTTGGGCCTAATCAAAAAGTTATTGACATTTACCTAACGTTCCCAAACTGACCGTCATCACTGTCTTGAAACGAACGTTTCTTTCATGTAGAAAATAATATACTCTTACCAACCAGTGCCCCCCCCCCCTCCCCCGGGAGAAAAAAAGTCTGAAAGAAACTCCGAACTCAAAGACTTGAGCACCTGCAGTGACTTGGTGTGTGGATGCAGGACAGTGCTGAAGATACCCATGGTCGTGGATCTGCCTAGCTCGACTGCTGGCTTTGTTGTGTGTCTTGATCCACCAGTCGGTGAACTCTTGGAAAGTCCGGGCTAACTTAGGGTTCGTCCATTAACGAGGATTGATTTGATGTTTACCTTCCCCCAATGGTCACAATAACTGCTAAATAAGTCACAACTCTCAAGTGGCGTCACACTTCAGTCAGGCCCTCCTAGATTTATAAAACATGAACTGGGTCAGCATTGTTATTGGTCAATATTAACTCCTCCCACTTTGTCACGCATTGTCAGCAAAGTCCACCCCGGGATAGGAACATTTAGAGTCTATATTGTTTTAAAAAATGCCATTTTTTTTCAAAATGATTAAATGTATATAACCTAAACACGACACACGAATTTCTTATCTTAAATTTCTTTTATGGATTCTACTTTGAAAAAACCTAATTAGAAATATTTATGAAAATATTCTGAATGTTTATAACTGTCCTACAAAAGATTGCAAAGAAAAGCTGAACTATATGTCCACAGTGTTTCTTCCAGACTTTTTTCTCCGGGGGCGGACACTGTTAAAATTATATATTTTCTATATAATTTGCATTTTGTTCCGGGGGGGGGGGGTAGACTTTCTTCAGGGGGGGATGGGGGGGGGGGGGACGTGCCCCCTCCCCCGAGAGCCTGGAAGAAACTGTATGTCCATAGAAGTGACGAAGTCTAATATAGCACACATTTTGTGTTGGTTAAAAAACAACTATTTCATTATAGATTCTAGTTTGTAGTTTGGGGGGGATCAAGCTTATTTGGTATTTAAACAAACTTTTGTTTAACGATTCCCCGTGGTTAAAAACTTCGTCCTTCTAAAGCAGTCTAAAGGTGACATCTCGCATTCAAAATTTCACCCATTTCTATCGAACCAATTTGAGAGATGAAGATTTGATGACAATGCAATATGACATGAACTTTTAATGTGTAGATGATCTAGGTGTTTAATGAAATGTTATTAAATATTGTTACATGATATTATTATATTGACTAAAGTATGAATAGTTAGAGGAGTAGCAACCAATCCACTGAAAATTCATTTGGATTTACTTTGTCCCACAACTTTTAGTAAACAAAAAAAGGGGGTGTGGGCGGAGCATTTTTTTTGTAGTTCTAGCCTTAACGATTCGCCCAAACATTATTTTTGTTAATGCTTTCCAACTTAAGTAGGAAATCATTAAATCAGTAATTAAGCAGTGTGGGTTTTTATGTATTTAGGGGTCATCCATAAATGAAGTAACGCTTTTTTTTGACGATTTTTACCCCCCTCCGTCACACGTCGTCACAAAAAGCCAGACCCCCCCCTAAAATGACGTCACACCTCAACCTACAAACCCCCCCCCCCCCCCCCCCTCAAAATTGCAGTTGAATTTTTAAAAAAACATCGATATTTTTCTAAAATCTTGTCTAAACTATTACAATTTATTAAAACAGTTATCTAAAACGCGAAATGACATATCTAAAATTCGTTTTCTAACATTGCTTTTTTATAATGCAAAAGTGTGACGTCGCAACATCTGAACCCCCTCCCCCTCATCACACATCGTCACAAAATTATTTTATCATTTATGGATGACCCCTTACTACACAATTTCACAACAAATGAGAATAAATCAGAACAAAAAGCAAAGAACGGAAAAGCCTGGATGTTGTGAATAACGTTGCTCCGAGGCCAGTCAGCCAAGGGCGAAGAAGACAGGCATATATATATATATATATATATATATATATATATATATATATATATATATATATATATATATATATATATATATATATATATATATATATATATATATATATATCCTCCGCCCCCAAACAAAGAAAAAATCCTGCCTCCGCCACTGCATCTCCTTTATTATAATATTAATTAGATGCGTGTGGGGGAATATAAACAGAATACAACCCGAGTACGACTCCAGATAACCGTCTTAGAAAGATGCCCCAGTTCTACCGGTCAGCACACCTATTCGTCAACCTCTTACAAAACAAATATATATCAAAGCGATGAAACTTTATTTACAGCAAGCTTTTAGTTAGGAATCGTCTATAAACGGTGCCACGATTAAGAAAGATTTCTACCTCAACATCGTCACATGATAAAGTCACACCCGCTCCCTAACTCTGCCTACCCCTCCCCCCCCCCCCCCCCCTCAAAATTGTATTTAAAAGAAATTAAAAACAAACAAAATAGCGATTCCCTTAGAAATATTGCGTGGGCCTCTAAGCTATTTAGAACAATTTTTAATATTAAAATACGTCTTTTAAAGTATAAAATATTGGTAAAATTCAGTTTTTAAAGAACTTTTTATAAGTATTGTACAAAAACGTTTTGTTACACTTTCTCACCCCCAACCCGACCAGAGTGTCCTCCGTGCATCTCTCCTGGATGGGGGGGGGGGGGGGGAAGGGGGTAATTAGTAAGGCTAAACATTTGGAAGGCAACCCTCAACACAAAACGTCGTGCAGTTTCAGTATCAAGGAACACACGAGTAGTCCTAACATTTAAGCCTATCACCGTATATCTTTTAGACTGCTCAACTAGCCCTGATTGTAAAATTATAATGATATTAAATTAAATTATAAGCAGTGTTTTTTTCAGACATTTTTCTCCGGGGGGGGGGGGGGGGGGGGCTTGAAACTCGGGGGTGGGGTTGTGGGGATGGGGACGGACACTGAGATTCTATTTCGTTTGATGGTTAGTGATAGTTGGGGGGAGGCCTGCTGCAATAATCCAGTGTTTCTTTCTTTAACGAAAAAAAACATACTTTAAAAAAAACATACTTTTTACCAGTGTCCGCCCCCCCCCCCCGGAGAAAAAAGACTGGAAGAAACACTGCACGTCTACCCCACATTCACCCCCCCCTCCGAGCGTAATATAATATATATAGAGATAGAGAATCTATACTTTTAGCAGTGTGCGCCCTCCCCCGAAAAACTAGGTCCGCTTCAAGTGCCCACTCCCCCCCCCCCCCCCCCCCCGAGGAAAAAAGTCTAAAAGAAACACTGCGATACTCCCTTTGGCTATAGTCTTTATCAATTACATAGACCTACATTAAATAACATTTCGTATTTTTAAAATAGTCGTTTAATTCATCGAGTGATAAAGGCTTGCGGTTTACATTCGACCGAAAGTTCAATACACATACAGTCCAAGTATCCAGTATTCATAATCGTAATGTTGATTACTATTCTTCAACTTCAAACTTCCTATATCAGCAACAGAATTTGATAGATGGGGGTGGTTGAGAGGAGGGGGGCACTGACACAAATAATAGGCCAGTATTTTATTAAACACCGTAAGATCTGACCAGAACGTTCATTAGTCATGTAAATACAACGAAGAAATATGAAATTAGGTCAATTAATGAACACATTAAAAAAAAAAGAGCACATGAAAACAGAAAATGAATGGGACGCCAACACACTGTTCTGTGTACAGCTAGGCAAAGAAAATAAACATTGGAATCTCTTCAATATCGATTTACAGTGACTAATTTAAATCACCAGATGCTACACAATTCTAAGTCTATCTTTTTAACGGTCTCTCGTTCAAGCAAATAAAATAGTTTACTTATAGTTAAATATGAAAATTAAAAAAAAATGTGGCATTGTGTAATCATTTCTAAGCGTGTAAGCGTTACTGTAACTTAACGACCATGCATCTTACAAGATCACCGTGTTCCAATTTTTCCCGCACTACTTACAACCAATAAGTGAACACGCTACACAGGGGTATTCCCATTTAGACCAATCAGAACACTTACTTTTTTCACGGTCTTGGGGTCAAAAGCTTACGAAAAAGCCCTATTTTTCAGTTAATTTTAGATTGCAAAATCTTTGACTAAACGAGAATAATTTCTTTTAAAAATTACATAGTACATAACAAGAATCACTACTTGACATTTTTCATCTCTATTTCAAACTATACAATGCTTTTAAGAACGTTTAATTAAGCGTTGAAAGAGTGCAGTGTCTGAGGTATAGGTGTTACTAAAAATAGCATCTGATCAAAAGGTGGTGATGCAGCGAGCCTGCGCCGTGTGGCTCAAAGCCACGCAAGATTTGTCGCCGGTACTACTTGCGATTTGATATAGGTGCTGTACTAATTAAAAAACAAGAGGCCCTGTGTTAAAATCCTTAAACCAAATTACTGCTAGTTAGAATTTTCATGAACATAAGTGGTCATGAAGTAAAGATTAATGTCAATATATTTATAATGGCGTTTATATCAATCTACTTTTTGTGCGGAGGGATGATGTAAATAACTACGCATATTTTGGGAATCGCAATTTATAATGTATTTTTAAGAATTTCTCGAGGGAACCATTCATAAATGTACACAAAGAATATATATTTAAACACGTAATTGTTTGCTATCATTAAAATCCTCTTGTTTTCTTTCTGACCTCCAACAAATCAACATGACCGAACCTCTCCTCTAGAACCCCCTACTATTTTGTGTTAAGGGGAATAAATTTACACGCAAATTCTGGCCGCCATTTTGGTTGAGACCTTTTTGCTTGGTCAAATATAACTGCATTGAATATTTGTTTTAATTATTACGTTACAAAACATGGTAAGAAAGATTTTGTAGTCTAATATTCAAGGGCAAATTTGGATTACGACACTATTTTCGGTGAATCTGCCGTAGCATTAGAAACTGGTTATCGCACTTCCGCTGTGAGTAACAATCGCGGAAGTGTGAATTGTCAACAAACCAAGAATGGTAAAAATACAAATAATAACACACAAATAACAATAAACACACATATTGCTGTTTTAACACAAAGAGCACATGCCATCATCATAAGCCAATCAATAATATTTAAATTGCCTTGTATATTGCCATTCAAATAACTCAAAATACTTTGCCAAGTTAAGTGCACCTATTTTCGACTATTACAATTTTGAAAACAAATCTTGCATCTCTTAAAAAATAAGTCTATTAACTTAAAAATACAACTTACGTTTATTAAAACTTAATTTTTATATAATCTGAGTTGGGTTTTATGTTCTTAACTGAATGCTATATTGTTGTTCTGAGCCCTAAACACAGAAATTACTAAATTTTCAAACATCCCCTCTAGGCCTACATTATTTCTTTTTTAGTTTAGTGATTCTGAAATTAGAGTCTGAAATCTAGATATCTAGATCTATAAACAAAACATTTCAAAACATTGACAGTTTACAAATAAGACTATTTTCTTGTTGTATTGGTTTGTATATGGGATAGAGTGGGCTAGTCGTAGAGAGCTGGACTGCTAACCATTAGTCTCGACTTCAAATCCGGGTCCAAGTCAGTAGACTGTCCCTAATGGGTACCTAACTCAAGTTAGGGTAAGTAAAGGCGGCTGGGCATAGTGCTCAGCACACTATCCCTTCATGTGCCGAGGTCACAGAAACAAGTGAACTCTACCTCACTTGCCTCGTAGACCGTCAGGTTTGAAAGGGAGCTTTACTATTGGTTTGTATAGTGACTTGTTTGACTGTTTCTAATTTCCAAATAGATTTGATTTAAGATCCTGCCGAAATTAATGAATCTGGTCGTTCTACCAAAGTGTTCAAAACAACAGGAGTAGTCAAAAAAATTCCCATAATTTAGGCCTAAGTCAACTTAATAATAAGAGGCCATATACAGATCTAGATTTTTGTTGTTACAAATGAGCTGAATATTGTTTAGATATTTATATAATTAAATCACTTTAAAATCTTTCACTATGATGTTTGTTATCATCCTATATTAATTCAACGTAATTGAGCCTTTTTGTCTTAATTATGTGTATTTTTATTATAGTCAGCACTTTATTGATGTAAACTGAAACTTTGATTCATATTTTCAGGTTATGACATACTTTTTAGGGTATGATTGATGAATGTGCCATAGGCTGCAGCGTACAATGTACGAAGGAAAAAACATTCACTATTCAAGTTCAGACAGCAAGCTCCTATGCTCTTTCAGTGGCAAATTGTGCAATCAGAGACGTCTTAATGGATACGGATTTTGTATTAGACATATTTTGGAAGACCCTAATGCACCATTTAAAAGATGTGCATATGTTGCAAAATCAAGCAATCAGATGTGCACACAGGCTATACCAAAACATGAAGAAAGGAGGTAAATGCTTTTAAACTTAGGATATAAAAACATAGAAATTGCAAAATATTCAAGATAAAGTTAATGTTAGATGACTACAAGCTTTTAATTATTGCAAATTATAAGTAAAAAAATACTTCTTGCATTATATGCCATGACATAAAATAGTCTTTAAAGTCTTTATTGACAGCACTCATTAGAGGCATAGAGAATTTTGATGTTAAGGAATGTAAGAGTGAGTAGGGAGGTTAAGAAATGTGACATAGGATACTTTTTTTATTTCTCGAAAAAAAAAATTATAAAAATATGTTCTTTAAGTGGGGTGGGGTGTATTTTTGGGTTATGATCCTGGCTTGTGTGATGTGTGGAATAAGGTGAAAATCAGCCAAAGAAGAATCATTTATGAACAACCCCCTAATGTTCACATAGTTAACGCTAGTCAAATTTTCTGTATGGGGTAATTTTTTAAAACTATTCCATCATATTCCTCAAATATTTACACTTGGCAGCCGCATATTATTCTTTATTTTTCGCTGTGATGACTTGCCTTGTAATCTTTAAAATAAAATGCACAAACCACAAAAATCCTTGTAGATTGCAAGAGCACCCTAATCTAAAATGTTCGCTAACCACTACATTTTGAAGTTAATATATTTTGTTTTACTTGCCTAAAAAAATCTAGATGGCCAAATGCCATACTTGTATGGTTTGTATTCTCTAAAAAAAGCACCTTTAGCATAATGGGGTGTCAGTGTGGTGCATCAATTGTGATGCTATTACTGACCAACATGTGTTGGGTGAGAAAATTTCCCAAAATTCTATAAAAAATATTAGTGCTAGTTGAAACTTGCCTTTCCTTTGTATTCTTGTTCTCTTTTCATTAATGGTTTACAAAAATAAATATTTTCCTAGAACAGCAAGCAAGTTGCAGAATTTATTTATGATATTACGATCACTGTCCTTAACCTGTTTTAGAAAGGTTACTTATTAATACTATCAGAATGTTGTCCATTGACTTAGCAGTTATTTTAGCAGTCACCTTAGCAGAAATTTAAAAATAAATGTGAGTGGATTACATCCGTGACATATTGTTACGGTTAAAATTAAAATAAACCAAAATGTAATTTATGAAAATACTGTTTATGCTTGATTTTAACCATCAAATATTTTTGTTTAGGTACTGCAACAACCACATGCAAGTACTGGGGATGTTACCAAAGAAGGAGCGTAAGAAGAAAGATAAACAACTAATAGAGACCAAGCAGCCTCCTGTGATTGGAAAAACAAAATTTTGTCTCTCAAAGGACAGTGTGCCTCCCATCAAACCTGCCACATCTGCTGAGGACCCAGATGATCCATATGCCTTTCCTGATGTTGGGCCAGCTGAAAACAAAACTGTTGCGTCCTCAGTTTCTTCCACATCTGATAGTGTTTTAGGCAAGTCTCTGCAATCAGGGCAAGGGTTTGTCAGATCTGCCAGTGATATCAGCACTAGTGGGCTGAGTATGTCTGGAGGTTCGACCATAGCAAAATACTATCCTGAACTTGCAGAGAAACTAGAAAAAATGAGAGCAAAACCTGAACCAAAAGTGACATCCAAGAGTCGGGCAAGAAGCTCAAGGACCATGAATAAATTGCAAACAAAAATCGCACAGAACAAAATTAATGAAAAGTTGCGCAAATCTCAAGAATTAAGTCAGACAGATTCGAACTCGAGTCCGTTGCAGTTGTCAAGCCCAGAACACAGCACTAGTCCAGGACCAAGCCCAGCATCTTCCCATACCTTCAGTCCTCAAGCTGCCCCAGCTCCACCTTTCACATCCACTTTTTCCCTATCTGGATATGAGCATGTGCGTTCAAGCCAAGATGTTCCTCCTCTACCTCACGTTGACACCTCGTTTCTTGCTACATTGGCAGCCCAAGACAATTTAGGCTTTCCAAACAGTGGAGTTGGTGATATGGGACTTACTTCTGAAAGGCTTCTGACAGTCCACACCCCTCCAAGACTTCCTCCACCCTACCCAGGATCATCTACACTATCCACACCCTCTTCTTTAGCCTCATCAGATCTTCCAGCCAGTGCCTTTAGTCCACAGACAAATTTAAACTGTGTACTGGAAAGTTTTAACTCATCTCCACAACGAACAGCCATTACACAAGTGGGACCTTCAGGACCATCATCAATACCCTCATTAAACTTTACGCATCATCAGAATAATCCATCATCAACTTCATTTTTATCACAGACTTCTGCGTCATTTACCACAAGTTCTACGCCAAGTTATTCATTTCCTTCATCTGGTGTTACCAGCGGGGCTCATCTCAAGCTACAGAACCACATAACTGCACCACTACCTCCCTCAAATGTTGATCTCTTCTCACTACTGAACATAAACTCTAAGTTGGGTGTAGATCCCTCCATGGGAGTCACACCTTCAGCGATGCTTCCTTCACCAAACACACTTGCTGCCCATCTAAATTTACCTCCACCACCGCCTTATGTGCCTCCTGCAGTGCAACAAAAAGTTTCCACGCCTGTGTTACCCAGTGTACCTGTCCCTAAGGTGCAGCTGAGTGCAGTTCCCAGAGCATCTGTACCACATGTAAAGTTACACAAACTAAATGGGATTTTATCAGAGAAAGAAGCTAAGAGAAAGTTTAGGAGTGATTTAGCTGTCAAATTCTACTCATTCTATGCTAAGAGGAGGGTTAGCAGCCATTGCATGGTGGGGCCATGTAAGTCATTTCTTCAAATTCTATTTATTGTTCTAACAGCAGTTAATTATAGATTCGTATAAACCTCTTCTTCTTCTTCGTTCTTAATTTTTAAATTATAGATTCTTATAAACCTCTAAATACTTTAATTAAGCATTTATTTCAGTAAAATATAGATCTGTCTACTTTTAAAATATTTGGAAAAACTTTTTCATCAATTCTATTCTACAAATTGTTTTTTTTTTAATCAAAAACATAAATAAAGTAAACAGGTAGACTGCTACCAGATGTTTTTAAATCAGCTCTTTGGACATTAAAATCATTAAATAACTTAGTAATTGGGAATTGGATTTGTAAGTGAACATTGAGAATCTATACCACTACATTAACTATAGGTTAAAGTTAAACTACAGAAACAGAGAGTTAAAAGTGAACTCACTATCTGTTTTGACACTCTTACCTCCTTGTTTTGTTGTAATTCCTTTGTTATTTCACTATTTGGAATATAATACACCCCTCAAGCATTGCATAATCTATTAATTCTTTAAAAAATAATTATAAATGATTATTAACCTTTGTATGATAAACATAACATAGGCCTACACAGATTTAAAATGTGCATTGCAAAAAATGTTTTTACCTAGTCAATCTAAAGCCTCTTTATAACACAAGCCCTGTCTTATTAAACATGAATAACTTGACTTAAGCACCATTCACTAATTCCTGCATCCTAACAGTCGGTTTTAAGATAAAAAAAACCTTGACAAGACTTGAATTCATAATTGTATAAATGTATAGTATACTTAAGTAAAAACTAGCAAATTTTAGCCCTTTTCAATTAGCTATACTACCTTACCTGTACCTAAATCACTATTTATAACTGATAACTTTACTTCAACCATTTAGAGATTAATGAATTAGGAATAATTTTATTAGCTTTCCATTGCGGAGGTTATTGAATTTACTTACAACTTACTGTTTTACATCTGAATTTTTTTTTTATTGCTGTGGCATAGTTTTATTATTTTGCATCCTATATTGTGAACCACCTAATTTCTACACATTACACACTTGACTCTTGAAAGAAAAAAACAAACTTTGGTCTCTTTATACATCTCATGTTATTTTTCTCTTAGACCTATGTAGCTCAGATGATGACAGTGAAGATGAGGATATTGACATGTTGCCATGGCAAAGAGAGATTTTTTCTGCATCATCTGATGATGAAGCAGACAGTGATGATGAGTAAGTAGTGACCTCTTAATCCATGATTACGTTTCAGCTGCTGATTTGAAGTTAATGTAAACCACATTTTCATTTTAGCTGCTGAGTAATAACATATTTTTTTTTAGATTGCTATTTATTCATTTTGTTGCTTCATTTTCCAGTAACATTTTTAAAAATTACAGACTAGAAAATGATGTTCCAATGGGCATGAGACCAACTAAGATATCACTGTTGAAAACACGGCTTAGACGACAGTGGTGTCAAGCAAAAAATGCCTATAAGACAAACAAACTTCTGAGAGAGAACAGCAACCAGGCAACTTTAGCTCTCATCCGCACTGTTCGCAATGGTGCAGCTTGTGCGGTCAGAGCATTGTGGCAGATTACCCATCTTAAGAGGTCTAAGAAGAAGTGGGTCATCAGTTTAATTCTTACACTATCTTCCTCTGTCCCTCAACATTGCCTGTACTCTACAAACCACCCAAACATTTTGATTTTTATTTGAAATGTTTATCATTATGAACTTAATCTGTCAATAGTTTAATCTTATTTTATAGCTAATTTTGTAAGAATGTTCTATTTTAGGAATGGTTATCACATGTTCATCAATTTTTATTTCAGGATAAGAAAAAGATGGTCTAAAACATGCTGCAACAAAAGTGAAAAGGAAGGACAATGTACCAATCAATGTTTGCCATATGCAAACCACTGTGTTAAGCGTATCCTTTCTCTGTTACTGTAATGGTTTGGTAGATACTATTCATTTGTTATTTGAATTACTTACTGTTTAGACATATTGTGTGTATAATCTTTTAAGAGCTGATGACATTTTAATGTTGCAGATGACCTGCTGTATTAGATACATTTGATTTAAATGTTATAGTTGATGCAGCATTATGAAGTTTGTTAATCAGTAAGTCCTAAATTCAGGAGGATTCTTTAGGATTATCTTGAGCTTAACCTAATGACAGCTTTGAAAACTCTGTTTTCTAGCCTACTGTTTGGTACATGCAACTCTGAGGATACTTAGTTTCTTGAGTCTAAAACAGGGGTCTCCAAACTACGGCCCGCGGGCTGGATGCGACCCGCGAGGTCCTCTCATTCGGCCCGTGGAGATCTTTTTGTCCACGGAAAAAACATTTGTTGGTGATGGCTGAGGAACTTTGCCCAGAAAAATCAAAGACATGCCTGGAAGAAACTGGCCCCCGAACTGAACTTTGATAGTCAATGCGGCCCTCGGGCTGAAAAGTTTGGAAACCCCTGGTCTAAAACATGTAGCATTTTTTGTACTTCCATTGAGATCCTGCACACTCAAAAACTATCATGTGCTTCTATTAGAATGTTAACTCAGCAAACTTTAGAATAATTATGTGGCTACATCTATTATTATTAGCCTTGACTGTGTCCAGACATTACATATAATATCAATCAGCAGTTGTTTGATTTCTGCACCGCCAAGTTTGCCAATAACGTTCAGTGTTGTCTGCCGTCATTTGACCTCCGCCATGAGCTGCCATTGTGTCAGGAGCATGCGGCTAAAGCTGTGAGTATTTCACCTACATTTATGGCAGTAATAGCTTCCTAATATAAATTACTGAAACTATGAAGTTTACTTACTCTATGTAAGATGGTAGCATCTGACTATGCATTGGAATAATTTTGACAAAAAAAATACAGCTAACAAAAAAATGTTGTAAACAGTGAATTGCAGCATGTGACATGATAACAGATCAAAACATGACAGTGTGTGAATTTAAAAAAAATTGAAATGAATGTTCACGTTACTTTATAGTTAAATACAATGTCTGCCTACAGGATAACTATCAGAAGCAGTTGGAGATAGAGAATAAGAAGAAGCCAAGGAAAAAATCTAAACCACCTGCACTCACCCGACCTCCCAGGAAAGGAAAGAAGAAAAAGAAAGGCAAATATACCAAAGCTCAGAAACCTTTGCCCCCTCCTGTTTCTATTGGTCTAGAATCAAGTAAGTTATCTTTAATTCACCACACAAGCACTGTCATAATATGTTTTGAGTCTGCTTTTTTTGTTTTTGTAAAAAAATCTTATGGAAGGTCAACTTTAACTCCCCCCTCCTTGACAGCCTAAGTTATGTAACTGTCCAATGTTCTAGTGAACAGCTTTAGTAATGCTTTTGTCCAATTTTCTTGTGAACAGCCCTTTCAGATGTAGATGTGACCAGTATAGACACATCAAAACCTGAAGAAGGGCTGGAATCTCCTCCAGGGAGACAACCCACTACTCCACACCAGCAGTCGTCTACCCTTGTCTCCCAGTTCACACCTGACATGAAGGGCAACAGCAAAAACCTCAGCCTTGAACTTGAAGAATCTTTATCACCAGGTAGTGATTAGAATGTTTATCACGCAAATAATGTTCAGAAATAAATTAAAAATAGTTAGATATTTGTGTTTACTTATGGCCTGCTAAGCTAAGTTAAATTTACTGCAAGCTCACATTTCCTAAGTCAAGCCAGCTTTAATTGTTACTTGGCACTAGTTAAGGAAATTAAGGCCTGCTGATTACACTACCCTGCATTTAAACATGAACTCTACGTAGTTTGTCCAATGGACTGCCAGTTCATAAATATCTCTTAACTCTAATATTGGTCATAGCCTTCTCTACTACTCTGTCATGTTTGTTTAAATACTTAAACACTACAAGGTGCTAGTGCTGCACATTTTATTCCAAGTTTATATTTGAGTGTAAAAAAAACTTGTTTAATTACTTTTAATCCCCATGTAGATTTTGACAAACCATTTGAGCTTCCACTTGAACAAGCATCTCGTCTGTTGGAGGAATCTGACTTTCAAGAAGTTGTTAACAAAATGCCGTTCGATGAATTGGACTTGTTTGGTCAGTTTATTAAGTCATGTAATAATTTGTATAGCTTAGTCTTATTCATTTGCTTAAAAAAATGAGATGTGTTAATTTAGATCTTTATCATGTTGTAGATAATAATATGACATTTTTTTTTAAAATCAGGTAAAAATGGTGAACCAGATCAAGATGCTGATCATCTATGTTTAGATCTAAACTCAGCTAACAAAGCGCGGGACGCTCTAGAAAAACTGTTAACAGGGACCATGTCAGAAGAAGAGTCCATGCAGTTGGCAATGGTGCTGGCCCAGAACCTCCAGACTGATGCAGAACTAGCCCACAATGCTGGACTCATCACAGATTCCAGCAGTGCTGCTCAGGGTACCACTGCCATGGAAATGACCCTGGGCTCACATATGGCAGAAACATCTGACCTGACCAGCACTGGTGCTGTTGACCATCAGATGATGAACATGCAGGCCTCAGAGAACTCCAGTTTTGTGCTCCACAGCAACTACCAACAGCCACTGCTAACTACAGCTTCCCTTACCATGTCTTCTTACAGAAACCTTGACAGTCATAAAATGACTCCAACTTCCCAGCAACAGCAGACCCCCATCTCATCCAATTCAGTCCAGACCATGGAAGACATGCCTCCTGTACTTACAGCAGATCTGAATGCTGTGTATGGACAGATAGAGAGTCTGACCAGGTCCCAGCTGGCTGCCAAACAATCATCTGGACTCAACCTCAACCACATCTCTGGTCTTGATTCTTTCTCAACTTCAAAGTCTGGGATTCGACATTTACCCACAGAATCAACACCTGCTTCCACTTCATCAAACTTGTATGCAGGCTCCAGCCAAACATATCTTTCAGCAATTGGCAATAGTGCTTCTATGGCACCTCTTCAATCACAAGTGAATTTGGAAGTTGGAAGAGGCGTTGTTCATTTAGAGTCAGGCTCGACTCAAGGATTTAATAATACCTCGTTACCATTAATTAATGCTCACTCAAGAGCAAGTTCTGGGCCACAGCATCAAAATTTTTCACTGTATTCAAACTCATTATTGCCTTCATCACAACCATCATCAGAAATGTCATATTCATTGTCATTACCTTCTCAAGCCAAGAAGGCTAAGCTGGATACCCCATCTGTGATACCCCATACAAGCCACCAAAAGCATCTGCAGCAGCAGCTGTTACAGCAGAATTCTACCACAGTTAGAAACTTGCTGCAAACATCAAACGCCAGCAAGCTGACATTACAGGAAACTAACAGGAACCTGAGACCACATGATAAGGCCCCGGCTTCCCCTAAAACAAGTGTACAGACATCTAATAAACAGAGGCTCACCTTGCCAGGCCTACAGCACGATGGCACCAGTTTTTCTCAAAAGTCTGACGGTGTTAAGCTCACACTGCCAGTTTGTAACAACTTGCTATCTGAGGCCAGCCAGAGTAGACTAGCATTGCCTGACAGTGCAGGCTCTTATGACATGTTAAATTCAGTGTCACAGTCTTCTTGCACAAGTAACGCTGTTCGCTATTCTTTAACTGCAGATTCTTCCCACAACTCTTCCTCCACCCTAACGTCCACAACTACGATACGTCACAGTCTACTTGGGGATAGCAATGGACCTAATGAGTCTATCTCCGTGACTGTCCTTCATCCTTCACCAATGGAAAGTGTTCCGACCACAGTCCGGCACACGCTGCCAGATACTTTCCCCACACCTATGACTTTGCCATCATCGCCTGCTCTTTCATTGCCTCTAAAATCACATTCATCTTCGGCAGAATCCAAGCTGTCAACTGCCATCTCCTCTCAGTCATCCAGCAATTTGCATCAAGAGCTTCTTATGTCCCAGAGGCAACAGTGGGCCCCACAAGCATCCATGACAACCAACATCACGCTACAAAATGGCCTACCATTTGGCCCGGGCTCCACTCGGAACCAAATCTCTAACAGGTTTAGCCCTGCTGGTCAGGGCAGTGCAAGAAATAAGCAAACAAAAGCTGCGGCAGAAGCTGCAAGGATATCTGCCCTCGCAAGTGCTGCTGGTGTTCCTGTAGTTTGTAATCCAGTATCTCTGCCTGGATTAGTTCAAAGCCTACCAACTACAACATTCAAAAGTAGTGGATCCTCATGAATTCAAGGCTGGTCAACCAAGGCAGTAAAAATATTGGGTTTTTATTAAGGCCTTGTCTAATTCAAGGCTTACCAACTATGAAATTGACCCTATCAAGACTGCAGAATTCAACTTTAAAAAGTAGTAGGTCCTTCTGAATTGCTTTTCTTAAATACACAGGCATGTTTCTTTATATCTTTTCTTATCTTGTTTATTTATACATTGCAATTAAAATTTTACTAATTTTTGTTAGATGAAATAGTCAGTTTTTATATGGATATTCCTCTGTGTGTGACAAACATTGCAAAACAAATTTTTTACATGATGAACATAACAGTTTAGTTCCAATAACCTGTCAGCAGCCAATCCATAAATTGTGCATAGAATGTATGTTGGTTAAAATATTTTTTTTATCATTATATCTTGGTGTATTCCGATTAAGTCCATGCATTTTCTGTGATAATTCAGGAATCAGTGACTTATCATTTGATATCATTTGCAAATTTTTGGTGCCTGTGTTGTCAGTTCTTGGTGCCTATGCTTTAAATGTAAATTAGATGGGTTCAATAAATCATAAAAACCAGGGCATTGTAAGATTGACAAAAAGTAATAAAATGTCTGTAATATTTCTACAAAATTTCTTAATCCCACAAGGACCTTAAGATGTCAATAAATTTTTTGTATTGATTTCTGCACACAATTATTATGTAAAATTTTATTGATATTTGTAGAAAAAGGTTTTATTAATGTAAAATTTGCATATCTTCCATATAATTAATTATTTGCTTACACAACCTAGTCGTCTTTTTAAAAGTATGTTATGACTTTTATAAAGACAGATTTGTGTTAAAATATTTTTTAAAGTAGTATTTATTGATATAAACTCAAAAACAGTTTTTGAATAAAAGTAGCATGAATTAATTTACATACACCCATAAGTGTAGGTGAAACCAGCTTAGCCTTGTTTTTGGACTGGCTACAGCTGTATTTACATGGCATGAATGCTGCTACTGTTGGTACACATTCATTTAAGCACTCTTTTTATGTCCACTTCTTTGCCATGTATTCAAAATAATTTTTACTCAAAAAATTTATTCAATTTCTGTGTGTACAACAGGGTAGGTAATTAGAAGGGATTATCATACATTGTGTGAGCAACTGAAATATTTTGATAAGGATAAAATTGACATCTTCTAGTTTTTTAATTTGGAGTCCAGGCTTCAAAATTTGGAGTTTTAACTTTACCTAGCAGTTTGTCAATTATTTCTATGAATATTTGCCTTACAAGGATAAGGTGAGCTGCTGCCACAGGTGATCTTTTTGGAACAGCTTGTAATGTGTACTTTTAGAAGATTTGAGTTCTTACCTGTACGTGGTTAAGAGTTCAAGGATTCTAGTTTAGATTTACTATATTGATTGTATCTGAAAGGACCAATAATTTTCCTAGAATCCCTCTATAGAGCACACAATATATATACCCTTATTTAAACTGTAATACTGCACTTTCATGCAGATTGTTACCATTTGTTTTTCTCCCTTTTCCAAAACTAAAAAAATATTAACTTACAATAAGTTTTTGTAAATGTGTACATTTATTGTTTTGTTTTAAAAGTTACTTGAAATTTATTATTTGTGTGATGCATCAACAAATGACTGATGATTGACAAGCATTAATTTTAAATTTTATTTATTTATATTCTGCTCTCAATTATCTATGAATAAACTTAAATTCACATTATTAAGTAATGTAACTAATAATCTTCATGAAATCATTTTATATTGCAATAAGCAGGTTTTTAAAACTTGATACTACTATGAATATAACCAACAGTAAATTTTAGGTCATGTTTATTTTGGTTAGTGTTGTCATTGTGATAGTTCTTGTAAAAATCATGTTATTGGTTACATCCTGTTGTTGAAGGTGAGCTGGGTTAGTTGTGAGTAAGCCCTACTATATATATAAGGAAAAGTAAAAGGTTTGACATTTTGTAAATTAAAATGTAAAGGCGTTAGAGGCAATTTTGGCTGGAATTTTGTTATTACCAGCGCAGGTCCTTAAACTGAGTGCAATGTTTGTTGTCATTTTTAATTTGATGTTGTACATTTTTAACAATATGGGTTGTAAGTAATAACATTAAAAGCATTTGATCATTATGAACGCAAGAAGACAAAGAATATATATACATATATATATATACATGTACAAAAATTTAATATTTTGAGTTCATTTTAAATTTAAACTGTTGTTGAATGTTGTTATTCTCAATAAATTTGTAGCTGCTAATTCAATTTTGTGAACGTTTATTGACTAGGAAAATAAAACAATTTTATACTGAGGCTCTTGTTGCAATTTTTGTCAAGGATAGAAAGTAAAAATACGTTGCCATATAAACATAGTGGGACGACATGGTCGTATGGTAGAGCATACAACCGCTAACCAAAACGTTGAGTTCGAATCCCTGGTTTGAGTCTCCCAGCTCTGATGGGTACCTGATTCATGTTAGGGAAAGTTAGGGCTGCTGGGCATACTGCTGACCACACTATCCTTTCATATGCAGAGGTAATTGAAACAGGTGAACCGTACTTCATACGCCTCATGGACAGTCAGGTTTGAAAGGGTACTTTACTTTTTTTTTTTACAAAAAAGATTAAAACATCTTTATTGACCTGGAAACTTTTACCTTTTCCTCACACAAATATACTAACTACATTTTTACCAGCTTCACTTGTTAAAAAAAAATATTCATATAGTCTACTTGTTTTGACCTCACAAATATCTGGTAGTAATATTATAGGCCTTAAAGTATCTACAAATGATTTGTAACTACTAATTAACAATATTAACATTTAACTGCTTAAGTGTGAACTAGTTCTCTCTTGTTGGAGGATTATTTTTTTATGCTCATGAAGTGCTATGGCTGAGCACTACATATATTACTACACCCAGGGATGCAAGAGGAGGGCTTTTGAATCAGTTTTGGTTCTTACAATACCAGCTCAAGAATGCTAAAAAGAAAAATTAGATATTTGTATATTTTATTGTACAGTAACATAGAAAATTCACCAAAAGTCTCACACTGACTTTATGATACATGAATAATTAGTCATGAAAAAGTATGGGGAAAAAAACGTATACATTTACAAGCCCTGTTAAATTAAATATTTTAAACAAAAAAGATTTTCACAATAATTTCTAGAATGGTCGTTCCTGTGAAATTTGACAGGATATTAGTAGGTACAAAAATGTAACATTTAACTTAATACTTGAAGACCAATTTTACTAAGTATACTTATACTTGACAGAGCAGTTTAAGTTAAAGGTATTCCTAGGTTAAGTGATTGGAAAAAGTTTTTCACCAAATGTATATACCATCTGTTGTTCTCTCATCACTAAACAACACTAAGCTTTAGAAAAAAGTAACATTAATATTTTAAAACTTTTTCAGCCTCTTTCTGTCGACGCAAGAGTTCCTCTTCCTTCTCTTGCTGCTCTAAAGCAATTTCTTTCTCCCGAACTTTTCTGCGCTCTTCCTGCTTGGCTGGTCTCACATCTAAAAAAAATTGTCACATTTATTCTGATGATGTCAGGATAGAAAAAAAATAGGATAATAACTGAAAGAATTTAAATAAATAGAAAAATAAAATGAAAATGCACTATTTTTTTATTCATATATTTAACATAAAAATCTTAAATTACTGTAGTTATACAGAACTACTAGTCATAACAGTTTTTATTATGATAAAACTAATGATTGATTCCAATAGTGCTCATATGTCTACAATATAGACGGATTCATGGGGAAAAAAACAAACAAGACTGAAGTGTAGGTTAATGTAAGCATTGGGACAATTTTATTACAAATAGTTTAGATAATGAAAAATTCTTACATGAAAAATAGGTATATATTTGGAAAGAAAGTAGAGTGCATCCTGCAACTGTTATTCCCATTAAAGAACGAACTGTCCATAAATGAAGTTTATCCAATAGTGCTGTTCTTGTAGCTTTCTTCATTGTGCTAGCTATCTGAAACAGGATGTAATACATATCGTCAACAAAAAAAAAGTATGAATATATTGAATTTACAGATCAAATGATATAACTATCTTTGCTGGAAATGTATTAAACAATCACCGGTAAAAAAAATTAAAGATAGAAACAAATGAAGACCAATTAAAGTGAATATTACATACCAAATTGAATAAAAACAGTTGATAAAAACCACACTATTTTTCATATTCCCCAAGTTATAAATATAACAAAATTAAAAGAAAGGTGTATAGGGGCTCTAATTAAGGATTTAAGTTCTATTTATGCTTTGGCATTAGCCAAAAGTTGCCTGATAACTATGGGTTATCTAGAGGTGGTGCCAATGATTTAGAAATGTGCAAATGTTCTCTAGCTAGTAAGAACATTGAAACAAATGAACACAGGTAATCATAATAAAAACAAGCTAGCTTAACTTCAAAATGACTTGTTTTTCTGGCTTGTCAGATGTTGAATTTTTTAAATTAAAAAAAAAAATTGCTGTCTCTAATGGTATCCCCCTCTTTAAAAAAGGTTCCAATAGGGCTCATTAGGCCTAAAACTAAAACTGTTTATTGTGGCATTATCTAAACCTGCCTGGTATTAGGCCTAGACTATAGGCCTAATTAGTAATTATTATAATTTTGCATCTACGTGATCTAATAATGGTAGAGCGTTCTACTGCTAACCAGAAAGTCTCAAGTTCGGATTCTGGACTCTAGTCTGTACAACGTCTGTGAACCCACACAGTAGGCCTATAGCTATTTATTATAATAATTTATTTTCAACTATTTTCTATTATTATTGGACATAGGCCTAACTAATCTCCCAGAATTTGTTTTTATGGAGAATGAACTTAATCTACAGTCTACATCTAGAGGTCTACTAGAGTCTAGTCTAAATCTAACAAAATTGAAAATAACATGAGGCTAATGTAGTTTTTCTTACTATATGTGAAATCTACTCAATTCTCAATTTAAACATGACAACTGAATAAAAAACGTCCATACTTTATCCTCTAGGCACTAATTTGGGGGTTGTAGCGAGTTTAGGCTAAATTATTGAATTTTAAAATGTTTTGTCACTCACAGCTATGATATGACGGATCATCCATGACAACCTGGTTAAAAGTTGAAAGGTTTAACTTTTTAAGTGACCGTGAAATAGATCTAATTTTTTTTCACAAGAGAGTTCCTAAAAGTAGAATTGGCCCGTCTATCGTCGGGATATATTTATAGAGGAAAAAAATTTAAGAGAATGTCATCAGAAAAGAATTTTAAAAAAGACAAGACAGAAGTGATGTTTGAATTCTTTTATTTCTTTAATTTTATAACATTTTTTATTGTACAAAAGAGCAAAATAAAAAACCATGCCAGGTAAACGTATCCATTCAAATAGCGGTCACGTGGTCAAAAAAAATAAAAAAATGTGGTTGTCATTTTTTGGACACATAATATAAAAAAACGAAGTGTCTACTCGGAATAAGATTTTTCGGCAAAAGATAGTTCTGCGCATGCGCAGTGACCTATGGCTAGGGTTATGGCTAGAATGAGGGTTAGGGGTAGGATTAGGGATAGGGTTAGGATTAGGGCTAGGGATAGGATTAGGGCTAGGGTTAGGGATAGGATTAGGATTAGGGATAGGGTTAAGGATAGGATTAGGGTTGGTATTAGGGTTCTGCGGTTGTAAACACACGCATGCGCAGTACCATCGAAAACATCGCCGCTAAGTCGTAGTTTCTCTCCATTGCGCATGCGTATCGCATGCGTATCTTATTCCGACTAGAATCGGCCATAAAAAAAAGTGTTGCAGATATTTGATTTATTTTTTCATAGAATGATAAAACTAATAATGCTTTAGTATGGAAATCAATTTTGTAATATGGAAATCGATATTTAAAAAGTTCTAGTATTTTTGATGAAACCAACTTTTAAATTTAGCCTTCATTCTCCAACGCAAATTTTAAAATGCTTTTCTGGCATATATAGCCCTGCCACCTATAGCTTGTTGTTATAACGTGAAAGTCCCGCCATTTTGCGCGTGGTAAACATTTTAAAAACTAATTAGTAGAAGGTCTCTAGAATTTGGCCGAAAAATCGTCGGAAGTCAAGCGTCCGGTCCGGGCGCCATATTGTTGTTAGCAACCGGCCACGCCTCCGGGTTAGCGAGAAATACTAGGCTAATGTTAATAGTCAATGCTAACTAACCCTGTCCCTAACCCTTCCATCATACACCTAACCGTCCTAACCCTAATTTCTAACCATAAAAATCGAGATTACATGTCATTTAAGACATTTATTATGATTTATACTTATAGGCCTACTAGTAGTACTACTAACAAGTTAACAACCCAACACTTCTTTTTTAAAGAAGATTCCATTATCGGACACTGGTATTTAGATCTAGACTCTAGCCCTAACTCCACTTCGGCCTTCCAGAGTCCAACCAACCCGTTTTGTGTTTTTTAAATTTTTAGAGTTTAATTTTAATTTTTTAAATAACTAATTTTTAGTAACTGTCTGAGTTATGTTGTAGGCCTGTGTAGAGTGTGTAGGCCTAACACTGCCAGTTTAACTTTGATCATTGATACCACTTCTGACTTCATTCATTGCCGTTATTGATAGGCCTATTGATCTAGATAACTAGTTCTATAATAGTAAACTTTAAAATTTTTAAACTGATCACTTAGGCTAAAATGGATAACTTTTAATATGACCTTTCGCTTTGCATTCCCGACTTATTCCGGCTCTACAGTCAGTCAGATTGTGTAGATCTAGACTAGTTGGTACAACTAAGCGCAGAAAAGTCATCGCACTGCAAAAAAAAAACAACCGAAAAAACACATTGAACATTTGTTATCCCACTAGTCTAGAAGGCTATAATAATAAATTTAAATAGGCTTTATAATTTGTGTACATTTTTTTAAAGAACCATCAACAATGAAAGTTAGTTTATTATTAAAAACAATCCATAAAGTAAGCTATTTAATAATATATCTATAAAATCATACCGACACATTAGGCTAGATCTAATCTATTTTTATTAGTCTATATTGTTTCTGGCTAGAAATATGAATATGGCGTTATGTAGCCTAAAATCGCTGTAAGCAGTAAAAAAATTGCGCATTCACTGTTTAAATTTAGTAGATCTAGGGCAGAGCCCGCACAACAATATTTTGATCTGGAGACACGTCTTCATTCGTTATGAGTATGACTTGCTTAGCTCTATCAATCTATAAAAATCTAGATCTAGCTAGACTCTGTTTTAACACTTATTTAATGGATAATATAATTTCTAGATCCATCATAGTATGATCATAGATCTAGGATTCTAGATCTATGTGCCTGATCTAGATTCTAGATTAAGAATCTCTAGTCTACCTATTTTTTTTAGTATTTTTTTTTACTATTCAATTCAATGGACACCAGCGAGAAAAGTTTTAGACTTTTACTTTTAGATCTAGTACTTATAGTATAAGTCTTATACTAGATCTACTTATGACTTATTTATTTTGTACTTAAAGTAGTCTAGATCTAATAGCCTAATAATTTTAAATTTAGAATCTAGATCTCGAGACTAGATCTTTTAATTAAAAACTAAAGAAGACCAAAAAGAGGATGATATTTCGAGTCGTCTCCTTGAATCCCGGTCAGAACGTCCCACCGTTGTGGCCTTAACCAACCGGCGGGCATTGTTGCATTGAGTTAAATATAAACTCAAAACAATAATATAAACAATCTCCTCCCACATACCACGCAAGCACAGTGTTGTATGTCGTGCCTTAACCAAAACATTCTCCCTTCGTATCCTTAGTGATATTTAAATAGTTAATTAACTCATTTATTTTATACTGAGATTACGCATTTCCCCCGGGTGAAATAGAAATAGGTAAATTTAAATAGAAAATATATAGGCCTACTTTATCTTTTTATTGTTTATCACACTTATTAAGTATGAACAAAGCTACTTAAATTATAAAACAGTTGAAATTTTGATATAAATAAATATAAGAAATCGTGAATTCCTATTATTTATTACTGTACATAAATAATGAGCAGAATAAATGCAGTCAGTAAATTATTGAGTAATATATCAATGTAAAAAGTAAATAAATGAGGTAACGTTAAGAATGTTTTTAAATTTCCAGGTTACCATGGCAGAGAAAATCAAGTATACCCAGAAGATCCAAACCACTGTATCTTGCTCCATCATCCACAGTCTCAACAGAAATAATATCGACATTCCAACCCCAGCTCCTCCTGCCTGTAAATCAAACCCCCCAAGTGCCAAAGTTGTATTCAGCAATCCACCATTTGTGTATACTGGCAGCGGCGCGTTTGCTAGTGGGGCACTTGAAGAGAAAATCAATGAAATCCTTAAATTCAGCTTACAACAACAGAGGGATGATGAAATCGCAGACAGCAATGGTTTTGTTACTATTGTTTTACATAGATGCTTTACTGCAATAGGTATTGAGACTAGAATAGTTTATGGGGAGAGGAAAATAGACGTGAAGAAAAGCTGGCCCCATGTTTGGCTTTGTATCAAGGATTCTGTCATAGATAATGCAAATATTAACAACCTAGAGGAGAGTAACATAGTATACATGCAGACAAATATAGAAGAGTGTTATAAAGAGTGCGAGTTGGATACAACTAGCCAGCAGTCTGGTAGACTAATAAATGTGAAACAGCAAATTAAACTTTTTGTCCAAGAGTCTGACATGGCTCTTGCTCTCAGCCTAAACCACGAACACTATTATAATTATTATTTTGCTATGATACGACATATGTATGATGAATATAAGGTATCAATTATAGGTATAGACCCTAATGTTAGATATATATGTTGGGGTTGTAGGAAGTATCCAAGACAAGGAGTTGGTTTCGTGTCTGATATTTTAAAAGGAGACGTTCCATTGGAGGATACGAATCATATGACTAGCTGGAGGTTTCTAAACTGTAGCAGGTGTATGGTTGCTAGTTTTTGTAGTCACGAATGCCAAGATAAAAATTGGAAGGAGGCACATCGATTTACATGCCTACCCCGTGGTTCTGTGTGTCTACCTCCTCACCTCGCAGGGATTTAATCTCCGTACAATAATCAAATATTATAATTTTAGCTTTAATAACTCTTGAATGGTTAATTTTTGTAATTGCAGTAATAAAATATCTTAGTCAAAACTTTCATTCAATAGGGTGATGTTTTAATGTTGTATTCTTGTGTTGCTTCAAAATTAAAAAGTTGTATGTGTATCTTGAGGAGAAACATTTGGTTGGTTGATGCTCTCTGTTATTTATAAAGAAGAGTGATCTGTAACAAAGATCATGCTAAATCTTGATGCAACCAAATTTTATATTTTAAAATGATAGTTTAAAGTTGTCCTTTAAGACCTAAAAATCCATAGGGCAGATTAACTAGCCTTTCTTGACCTCAGCATATGAAAATGGTGTGGTCAGCACTATGCTCAGCCACATTTACTCTCTCTTTGGGTGGACTCAGGAATGTACTGCCGACTCAAGTCAGGGCCGAGATCTGAAGTTGAGACTTACAAAATAGCAGTCTAGTGCAAAAAAACAGAAACCACCTTATACTTTCAAGGCACTGTAGTCAATAAGCCATGAAACTTTTTATTGTACATGGAGGTTTATCTATGGCTCTATAATCTGATATTGATCTAATAGATTTTATTCCACAACCAGGCTCTTTGCACTTGGTGAACTCATAGCTCAAGTGAAACAACTAAACAAAAGGATTCCTAGACCAGAAGTCAACTACCAGTTTCCCAGAAAGAGAATCCTTACCACTAAGATCTGTCATGTAATATAAAAGAAATAAAAAACAGAATGAAATGTTTGAAAAAATTTTATGTGACCAGCCCCTGTATTTTACACAGGGTACGTGCAAGTAAAATAGATAAACGTGAAACATTAAATACACAGTCAAGTTGTAAGGAATGTTTTATCAGCTGCTTTTTTAGTCCAAGATACAAAAAAAAAGGAAAAATACTTTTGAATTATAGTTAACATTACACAGTATCCTACCTTATACTTATATTGCAATGCATTTTAATATGTTTTACACACAATGCCGTGTAGGTAGGCTACTTAAGCTTCAATTAAATTTAACTTAAGAATTTTGGACAAGTATTTGTACTGTAGTGTAGCTAATATAGTTTTAAGTGATGGTCTACAGTCTACAAGTAGTTTTTTTAATGCTATTTAAGAACCACATATGTGACAGGTGAAAATTCCCTATTCTAGTTATAAAGTTACAATGGCTGGGTTTGTCTATTACTGGAAGTCTTAGAAAATAATATTTGATTACTCCAGATCAATATTACAAAGCATGCCAACAGTAATTTTTGGTAATTCAAAGCAAAAAACTAACAATATGACACCTACAACAAGTTGGTTTTTAAGAGAATTGTTTAAAAAAATGTTTTGCTCAGGGTCAGTCTTTAAAAGTCACTATTTTAAGATAATTCTCCTATTGTTATTCTCTGAACAGATTATTATATGGAACTTAGCCAACCATTAAAAATTTAATAATAAGTGAAGGATTAGTGTTTACCAAGATCCTGTACTAATGCAGTTGAATAACAAAGTTCAACTGCATGTATAATATCTTAATAATTAAACTGGATGGTAAATTAAAAACTTCTTTAAAACATGTCACTTGTTGTGCTTTTGTATGAAGAATGTTTTCTGGAACTGCATTTATGAAAAAGATATTTTGGTTTAAAATTTATTTTGCTTACAAGTAAAATTAAACTAACGTAAGTAAATAATAATTTTCAAAATTTAGAAATTTAAATTTACTTAAACTTAAGTACAGTTAAAAATTTAAATTTGAAAACTACTAAGTCTTGCATCATATTTAACAAATGTTTTGCACAGATTCTGCAACAGATCAAGTATTAGGACTCCTATCTTTCATCTGTCGCAGGGCCTGCAGGAAAACTTTCTTGGTTTCCTCTAATGTTATACTGTACACCTGCAGGTCTTCCTCTTTGGCTTGCAGTGTTCGCTTCAGGGCAGCTTTGAGGGACTCATTCTCATCCTTCTGTATCTCAAGTCTGAGAGTTCAAAAGTTGCTTCAATTATTTACTCACTTTTTCATTTAGCAGAAAACATTCAAATAAATTATTGGTAAGATTATTAATCATTTGAATCTTTTATAAGAGCTATATTTAAAGTAGAAATAAAGAAATCTGTGTTGACATACAGTTGGGATTTAAACAAAATTAATTAGAAAGCCGTTAAGCCAAACCCTGTGTTGACATGCAGTTTAAAACTAAATTAATTAGAAAGCTTTAAGTCAAACCTGGTTCGGAGCTCATTTTTGTCAATGTGCGTGTCGTCACCTTCATGGCTGTCATCACCTGTGACATGATCTCTGGCTGAGTAAGCAATTTTGTCATTCCTCTTTTTAGAAGCTGTTTAAAATTGTGCAGAAATTATAAATTTTAGAAATAGTAAAACAATGCAGAAATTCAATTTGTGTACATATTTCCTAAGATTACAAGTACAAATATATGTTATTTGATAAAACTTTGATGAAATTGACTTTTTTAAAGTTAAATATTTAAGTTATTTGCATCAAAACCAAATTAATGTTCAGTGTTTCTTTTAAACCTCTTACTCTTTCCTTGGGGAGTGGAGTCATATTAAGTTTACAAAGAAAATATATTCCTCATCCAGTTCAACCCCTACGCTCCCACCTGGAGAAAAATACCTGAAAGAAACCTGTTAGTCTTTCTCTATGATTGTATGTGGTACTGTCTCTTACCTTCTAAAGTACGTCTGCCCAGCTGCTTCTCTAGCTCTACAGCTAGCCTCTTTTGTGCCTGAAGTTCTGATAGTGTTTCATTTAGTTTAAGAGTTTCTTCTGTCAACCTGACAAAAAAAACACCTGTATTACAACTTAATATTGCTTCAATATACCATAAGTAACTAACAGAAAATTCAATTAATGCCTAAAACTTAAATTCGATGAATAAAATGAAATAATTTTTCCTCTAAATGTTTAGCCCTTAAATTTCAACAAAATTAACTTCCATTTTATTGCATAAAATGCTGGAAAAAGTTAATTACTATATAAGCTGAAATCTAAAAATTTAACAAAATTTTTCTCCTGGGCCATTCCCCTCAAACAATTTAATGTTAATAATGTTATCCTACTACAAGTACAAGGAGATTCAATGCACCTTTGTTGTAACAGTTTGACCAACTCTGTCATTTTATCTTTCTCCACCTCCAGAGCACGGCTCATTATTTCCAGCTCCTGATATTGATACTGAAGGTTTGCCCCATCTGTCTGCTGTATTTGAGGAGCTTGTGTACTGGGGAAAGATTTTTCTTCGCATCAGTAAAATATTTTTTTTGATGCAGTCTTTATTTGCCAGAAAAAATAGTATTCAACAATACAAATGTGATTTTTTTTTCCAGATAGCATTTCATTTCAAAAGAAAAAAAATTTATCAGAGATCAGCATGGTTTCATTATTGAAAGTAGCAGTCTGATTTTGAATTAGACATAAATAAGAACACATTGACACAGTTGAGTAAAAAGCTCACACTAAATGGTCTCTGCTGGAGGCCCTTGAATTACTTCTTGCACTTGACAGTGAGGAGTGGTTTACTCTTGGTCTGAAGGCATTTAAAAAATAGAATTCATTTTATGAACATTGATAGTTGACAAACGATAAAAATTAATTTTAAAAAAATTAATAAAATCAATAAAAGCACTGTACTGGACTAATGTTATCTAGGCCATCATAAATCACTGCACACAGCTTATACAGTTTACCTTGCAGATACATTCTCTAATTCGTTGGCTGTGATTGGTCGGCTGTCTGCTTGTGGTGTCACATGACCTGGGTTGGGATTCTGATTATAATGTCCATAACTAGGATGATTTTGTGTATGCTGTAGAGAAGAACAGAACTGTACACAACACAGTAACTCAATCATTATGTTTCAACTCACACTGTTGCTACAGCACAAGGCACATACTTTTCCATTTCCTGTCCTTCATACTCAAGTCACATACAATTAAATGTTGTGATTCAGTTCTCTCATACCCAATTCAAATCTCTTCCCCACATGTTATTTTGTGATCTCCCTACATGGTCTCTGGCTGGCTGAATGGAACAACTCACTGAAAGTTTTAAATGCTGCAGCTCCATCTCCAGCAACTTGACCTGCGCCTCTTTCTCTGCTGCTATAGACTTAAGCTGCTCCACAATGTTGTTGTCCTGCTGACTCTTCATGGACATGTGGTGCAGCTGTTTCTGTTGCTGTTGCTGCTGTTCAGCCTGCATCTTGTTGTGCTCCTCCAGCACCTGCTTCAGCTGTCCTTGCTGTTTCTGTGGAGAAATCATGCAAGAGAGTAGTGAAAAAATGTCTTGCTTGCATACAGAAAAAACTATAAACTACTCAGGAGAATATAGCTTAACTTTACCAATACACAAATATAAATGAGGTTAACAATACAAAAACGATAGTTATTTAATAAGGGAACAAACTCAGTGGATCTTACAGTTAAAATTATATTACTTCCTTTCTTTCTGTAAAGCTACTCAATTGGTTTAGAGCAGGGGTTCCCAACCTTTTTTTACTCTAGAGCACATTCTAAAATACCGGTAGGGTGGCGGGCACCACCTATTTTAAATCGACAAACTCCTTCAGAGGCGTAGCGACCCTTCCCGTCACCCGGGGACAAAACTTTCGATTTGCACCCCCTCCCTGAAATTTTCGATTTGCACCCCCCCTCAAACTTTTGATTTCCATCCCCTTCAACCTTTCAATAATGTTTATGAAAAAAATTCTGTCTCTGTCGAATAATTAGAGGCGGGCACATACGAATCGTAAGGCGGGCGCCATGGCGCCCGCGGGCACGGGGTTGGGAACCCCTGGTTTAGAGTCTACTTTTTAATTTAATAAAACATAAATAAAGCTGAAAAATTGCCTACCATAAGTGCATCAATAAATTCATCATCATTTCGGCTTTTTTTCAAAAGTGTCTGCACTTGTGGTTTTAGAGTTTTAATTTCATTAGCCAGAACTTGGTTCCTAAAACATTGTAAATAGATTCATATTACTATCAGGGAACAGATGTCAAGGTTTAAGCCTGAAAATATTCTTTACTCCTGTCTTGCTACTGACCTGGCCTTGGCAGCATCTAACTTTTCTTTTAAGCTTTCATTCTCAGCCTTCAGGGACTTCACCTTGACAGACATGTTCTAAAGAGGAAAAAATCTTCATCAGTTACAAACACTGAAACATAACTGAATTACCTCCCTTACCTCAGACCCAATGACTAAATATCCACTTTTTTACTTTCTCGTATATACGAAGTATAGAGAAAGTATTGTAATCGTGCAAAAAAAAAAAAAATCGAGATTTTTACAAATCTCGACATTTTACACCTCACTGATACGGAAAAACATAATTTTGCAATCTTGTCTGTGTGTCTGTCTGTCTGTCTGTAAACACGATTACTTGAGTACCGTTACAGCTATGCTGATGAAATTTCATATATAGGTATTTTATCAAAATCGTAGATCCGTATCAACTTTTGAGCGATTTCCAAGAACCGGAAGTGGTACTTTTTCTACTTTGAATTTTTCAAAAGCCTATAACTTGAGTACTATTTTAGATAGATAAATAAAATTTCACATTTGAGTAAAAGATCTAATTCTCTACCTTCTATCAAATTTTGAGTAATTTCCGTTGACCGGAAGTACTAATTTACGCTATTTCCGATTTCTCAAAAAAACGCATATAAATGTATAAAGAACTAATAATATTGCGCACTATTATGCGCTTTTTGCTTTGGCGTTCACTTGGTGCGCAATGTTTTTTTTTCTAGATTTTATTCTATTTTTAAAAGTTTAAGTAAACAAAAATCATGTCTATATTCCGAGTTGCCATCCCACGTAGTGTTATATTAGAATATTCTAGAAAGTTTAGGGGAGATCACTCCCGGTTTATTATTTACAAATAATCACCTCTTGAGCTTCTTTTCTTTCTTTCTCCACTCTCTTTAACTCCTCCCTGTACTTTTCCTCCCTCTTTCTGGCTGAGGCAACTTTCTCATTGAAAATATTTGTATTTGTAACCTCACTGTTGGGCCCATCCAGCTGAACTTTCAACTCTTCCACCTATACAACAACAGCAAAGATTTGGTTAGTGGATTCAGCCATCTACAGCATTAACGTAAGAGGAATTCAATAGCTTTAAGTGTGGGCTCGAGTCTGCTACTATCATGGCTACCTTAATAGGGTTTTTGTAGTGTAAAAAAACAATGAGGTTTGAGATGTGCCACAAAAAATACTGAAGAGATGTAATAATCTCATAAATTGACTAGTTTACAGGTTTTTCAATAACAGTAAGATCCATTATAGACTTGACACAACAAATATTAACACAGTATAATAATCTTAGAACATTAAACACAACAAATACAGATGTAGTATAGTAATCTTAGAATATTAAACACAATCGTGTCATGGTGCAGGAATCTTAGAAGAAGAAAAAACTGACCTTCTGCTGGAGTGCCAGAATCTGCTGTGCCCTGCCTCTCCAGTTGCTGGTCTCATTGAGTAAAGATTGAATGTTCACGTTTTCCCCCAGCTCCTGACTCAGCACCTGGGTGTAACATTTAGATTGACATCTGGCTCATTGTGTACATGTGTGTGTACAACAATCATCAATACAGGTGCAGTAGATAACATGTTCATGTTTTAAAAGCCTTTTATTAATATCATTTCACAGATTTTGTTTAGAAAAATATATTCCTAAAAAAGATCTTAAAAGTTATAAGATGCATACATTTTTTTTTGGTTTTAAAATTATTTTTTTTAACAATCACATGCCACATACAGCTCACAATGAAATGACATCTTAGGATGTCAAGGACATGCCACCCAGATTTAGGCATGATAAGACCCCAAGTTATTTTTTATATGTGGCCCTTTATAAGTCCAGCTATTTTATGTTTTTAAAAAGAAGTTTGCCAACCAAAAAATGTGTTTAAAACTATAGTGGAAAGTGAACAGCCCCCACCCAGATTTATAAAGAAAGAAAAGAAAATTATAAATAAATGTTAAAAAATAAATCTGCGACAAATGCCCACCATGGATTAAAGAAAATACTTTTGGTCGACCCCAAGAATGCTATAGCTTGTTGATCTTGTACATAAATCCAGCACTGCATGACACTGGCACCACCTACCCTGTGAGCAACTTTAAGCTCTTGTCGTAGAGACTGGCACTGGTTTCTAAAATCTGTCATCCTGGATTCTGACTGTTTTAACCTTTCTTGTAGGGCCTTAACATCAACGCCATCATCCTCTTTATTGTCTGTAGGTGGCGCGACTGATGATGTTACTTCTGATGGTGGACATCGCTGAAGCTGAAATTACCAGTGTTAGATTGTTTTAAAAATATCTTACTAATATGCTAGTTAATAATAGAAACCTTCTATAGACAACTATAGAATGTAACGATTTTATATTTATGCAAACAAAAAGCTAAAGTTTACTGGATAATGGCTAAAAGGAATGGATAGTTAAAAACATCTGGTAAGCAGAAACCAAGTTTCCAAAAGAGTAGTAAATTAAATGTAAGGTGTCTAAATTTATATTAGAAAAAAAAACTAACTTCAATTTCAAGGTCATGACATTTCTTTTGGAGTTGCTTACATCTGGTTTTTTCAGATTCTTTTTCTGCCGTCAACTCACGCACTTTTTTACTGAGTTCAATTATTTTAGTTGCTGCTGTTTCATTGGTCAGTGGACCATCTGTAAATGAAAAAAAGTGACACATTTAAATAGTTGTTATCTCAAAGCTATTTAATTAACACTATTCAAAATATATTGAAATTACTTACACAATTAGCTTTTATAAAAAGGCAAATATAAGTAGAACTAGAACACAGTTACATTTAAAAAGGGGTCATCCATAAATGACGTCACACTTTTTTGATGATTTTTACCTCCCCCCCCCCTCCGTCACATGTCGTCACTAAAAGCCAGATATCCCCGATAAAATGATGTCACACCTCAGCCTACAACCCCCCCCCCCTAAAAATTGCTGTTGAAGTTTTCTTAAAACATCGATATTTTTCCAAATTCTTGTCAGAACTCTGTCAACATAGATTATTTTGATCAATTCCTATTACAATTTATTAAAACTGTTTTCTAAAATGCGAAATATCAGCTAAAACTGGTTTTTTAAAATTGCTTTTTTATAATGCAAAAGTATGACGTCACACCATCTGAACCCCCCCTCCCCCTCATCACACACCATCACAAAATTACGGACCCCCCCCTCTCCCCTACGAGTGTGATGTCATTTATGGACGACCCCAAACATATATGCTGAAATAACATATTTTTAGCTGTAGCATTCTCAATCTGGTACTGAGGTATGCAGAGTAATTTTGTGAGTGGGAAATGGTAATTTAATTCAAATTATTGTGAACCAGTCATCTATTCTACAATGGCAAAATAAATTCTCAAATGAGGATTTTGCTAAAATAAATCAACAGTAACTTCACCTAAAGTTATCTGTACAAAACATGAAAAATCTAGACCTAGAGTTCACATTGATAGTCTATACAAAAGAAAAATACCAACCTAAACCGCTGTTTTTTAAATCTTCAGCTTTTTTCTTTAACTGACGAATCTCAAAATCTTTTTCACTCAAAAGCTTAAAAAGTCGTCCATTCTCATCTTTAATTTGCTGTGGATTTTTTTAAAAGTGGCATCAGCATTTTAAACAGAAGTTGAGTTCTTAGAAAAAAAATATAGGCTAAATATATCTATGATACTCACTCTTATTTCACTATTTAAATGGTCCACCAGCTCCTCAGATATAATGCTATCTGTGTTCACTAAATGTGTATCACCAATCTGTGTAATTATTAATTATTTTATTTGATATGTTCATAAATATTTAAATAAATTTTTTAAAAGCAAAATTATTCAACTTTTTTTGTTTATATTAAATTATATTTCAATTTATTGTGCTAGGATGTCAAAAGAGATAACTGTCAAAGTGAAAATATTGAAGTTTTAACATGCATTTCATACAGCCCTACAAACAAATTTTCTTTTTAAATATTTAAGTAACAAATATTCTTCTTCGTTCTTAATTTTTAGTGTTGGAAAGGATCAAGCCTTATCTGCCAGATGGTTTGAACTCGAGATTTTTTCGAATTTATCAACCATGAGCTTTTGGCCGACTCGACCACGCCTCCATCACAATTAAGGATACGTGTCAACTGGTTATGCGCCATTGACTCTGATCTCAGACTGCTTTTCTTTTTGGATTTGCTTCCATAGCCTTTGTCCAACCAAGAACAAACTACAAGGCAGCAGATGTTTGATTTTGGAGTTGTCTCTCCTAGAAGAGTAGCTGTCCACAGCTAACACGCCTCATCTGCCCGAGGGTTCAAACTCGAGACTTTTCTGTTTAGCAACCATGAGCTTTACCGACACGACCACGCCGACCCCTAGTAACAAATGTTACCTTGAAATTTGAAATTTAATTTTTACAATTGAAAAAGTTTTGATTAAATGGGTTACTCCCATGAATTAATCATTAAGTTAGTTTATCAATATTTGGTTATGTGTTAAGGTTAATGTTGTCAGAGTGGAGATTTCCGTTAGATAAGTAGCCGATAAGTAAGCATTACCCTCAGGTCTAGGTTATCACTGACACCAAATGCATGATTTTCTTTTGACTCTGTCTTGATATTTTGATTGGCCTGCTCTTTTCTTTTCCTTCTCTCCAGAAGTTTCTGCTTCTGCTGGTCTTGGAACTGCTGAAACTGTTGCTGTAAATTTTCTTTTTCCATTGAAATCTGATATGAATAGTTTGAATATTAATATTATTAGTTTGGAAACCAAACAGTATCAAAAGAAAAACAAATACACTTGAAACAACTGGTTATGGTAAATTTATTGGGTTTTGCTGAGTTAGCAATTAATAAAAAATAAAGTTCTCTTTTTATACCTAACTGTCAATAGGCAGAGGAAGTAGACTTCATATATTTCTTTACCTCTGCAAATGAAGTGAGTCTACCTACATCTGATGGGTATCTTGACTTCTGTTACAGAAAATAAAGGCAGCTGGGTATAGCGCTGAACTCACAATTCCTTCATAAGTTGAGGTCACAGATCAAGTGAACTCTACTTAAATCTATGTCATCTGCCCCATGGATCACAAATATTAGGTTTGAAAGGGATATTTAATTTAATACACTCACTACATTCTAAATACTACATTTTTTTTAATTTTGATTTAATATTTTAATATTAAATAAATAAAAATTGTTTTTGGCCGTATTATTACCTATTCTTCTTTATACCAACAATCTAATATCTTGCAATAAATGTTTAAGCGAATTAAGTTAAATTTTACATTTATAAGTGTGCCAATTCTTCTTTTCAAACGATCTTCAATATTTATTTATATTTTTGGCTTCGGTAGCAACGAATGCCAACAGCGGGATGTCTAATAGCCGAAATATTTCGTCGGACAAAACTTTTTGATAAAACTACAAATTTAATTCTGATAATTTAGTTCATTTAGCTGTAGGCCTAGTAAATCTAGATCTATTATTTTAAGAACATTATGTTATTTATTGAATTTGTTTTACAGTTGATACATTAACATATAAATAGCAGCAACCTATTTCGACTACATAATATTAATAATTTAATATGCTCAGTTTAGGCCTAAATAACGAATTCACCTGTAATTTATTTTGAAACCAGTAACCTTAAAGGCTAAAGAATACTAAGATTTTATTAGCCTCTAAATAGAATTTTGTTTTAATTTGAAAAATTATAGTTTTAAGAAAGTTGAGTTAATATAGATTTTTTTTTAAATAGGAACTCCGATGTATGGACCTGTAGTTTAATTTTTTATTTGTGCGATCATTTTTTTTCCAGACATTTATTTCCGTGTGTGTGTGGGGGGGGGGGGGATGGGAGGAGGGGGGCACTTAAAAATTCAGTGGAGGGGCGGATACCGTTAAAGTAGGCGTTGGCCTATATATTATCCATAGAAATTATGTTTTCTATTTAGCAGCGCGGGGGGGGGGGGGAGGGTGTCCGTCTTATCCTGCACAGGTTCAAGTCAAATAGTAATACGTGAATTAAAACAATGCTATTATATAGGCTTAATAGCTCATTTATACTTTTCTAGTATCAAAAATGTTTTAGTTAAAAGCGCACGAAACTAAATTGTAAATATTATTAACGAGCTGACCCCTGTTATCCAATGGATTACTATTAGCTTAATAACCTAATTCCCCCCCCCCTCACACACACACATACATCACTTCTCCACCCATTACATTGGCGTAGCGCGACACAACCTCCCCACCAGTGGTGTAACCAGGAGGAGCGCAGGGGGAGAGTCTGCATTTTTAGTACAAAGGCGCCTTTTTTGGAAAAGAAACATAAATTAAAACAGGCAAGAAGAGTCAGTTACTTGTAACTAAATTAATAAAAAATGAAATGTATGTGCCTATCTTGTTGTCAGCGTTTTCCAACTCACTGCTGGTTAATGAAGGCTGTAGCTCATTGGTGGCTATTGAAGGCGCTTAACTTGTATTTTTTTTAAGTGGCATCATTAACTATTGGTTAATGAAGGCGCCAATTACGACGTGACTGACACAATTTAACGTATTTTTGTTGGATGTTTTTCTCTCTTTTCTCTAGGGTGCGTCTTAATTTTTTAATTTTTAGAATATTTCTAAATCTTTTCAAAGATTGAAGAGTTTTCAAAAAGCTTCAATAAATGTAGCCACATTGGAATAAAAATAATTGTAACGCACAATGTTGATGTAGGTAAAAAATGACAGTGGTTAAAGGGGCATTACTACGTACCGCTAAATTTCATTGTTACATTTACTGAGTTACCTACCCTACTATGGCGGCTTCAAAATGTAAACTTTAACCGTCTGTGAACGAGTGTTAGATCTAGTATTTTATCGTTAATATTATGGGATGTTATGTTGATGGGGGAAAAATACGTGGGTGGGCGGAAGACACTCGAGGGGGAGGGGGGGGGGTCAGTCTTTTTTTGTGATATGCTACAATTATGAGGGGGGGGGGGGGTGGGCTTCGGACAATTAGACTATACTCAGTGGCGTAGGCAGGGGGGGGGGGGTTAGGGGGGTCATAATCCCCCCATAGACCCCTCGGTATATATAAAAAGTATGAGGGGGGGGGGTGCAAATCGAAAGTTTGAGGGGGGGTGCAAATCGAAAGTTTGAGGGGGGGTGCAAATCGAAAGTTTGAGGGGGGGGGGGTGCAAATCGAAAGTTTGTCCCCGGGTAAAAATTGGAACCCCCCCCCTTGAGACGATCCTGGCTACGCCACTGACTATACTTATAAGACATGGAGCAAGTTTCGCTTTTATTACTTGTAGAGCCTATAAAGTTTAGGTAGGTTATATTAAGGATCGTGGTTATAGTCAAGTTTAGGATGCAGGTCCGTGTTAGGCTTATAGTGGCGCTAGCAGCAAAACCTATTTTCCATGCTGACATAATGCGACGATCAGAGGCGTAGCGACCCTTCCCGGTGCCCGGGGACAAACTTTTCGATTTGCACCCCCCCTCAAGATTTCGATTTGCACCCTCCCCCCTCAAACTTACAATTTACACCCCCCTCAACCTAACAATTTATTTTTCCAACCCATTTTGGCGCCCCCTAAGGTCGGCGCCCGGGGACATATGTCCCCCCCCCCCTCGATACGCAACTGGCGTCGATAGCAACAGCGAACGTAGATTACATTGTATTACATTATGACGGCAATTTTTCGATTTACTCGAGTAAGACCGGAAGACGTAAAGAATGATTCCGTTTTGGTTCGTTTTCAACACCCTACACAAAACCATACATTGATCAAAAGCTCAATCTGTTTTGTGAATATGCTGGATCTTGATTTCAAAATATTTTTGTTACGCTTCATTATAAAAAAAAACAAAAAACAAAAAACACACACACATCAAATTTCACTTTACAAAATTACATAATTTAAAGTTAAACGATTCAAAATTGTGTTATGTAGCATTGATATTTTGTTATACAACACACCTTTTTATGCGATACACATTTTGTGTTATTCGAGAAACATTTTGTCACATAAGAAATTGCTATAGGGGCATACCGTACACATGCTTTTTCTGAGTGTCTCAATCTAAAAATAGTGGATTATATTCCTAAAACTAAACGAAACAAATTGTAAACCAAAATCTCTGCTTTTAAAACTAGACAAACCCACCCCAAAGCATGACTGCGGGCAGTGTAGACTGACGTGGGAAGTGGGAAATGTTTGGACAATCAGACCAATAAACTCATCGGGTGGTTTTAGGTATTCATGTCAAGATAACTCCAGACAACAGCAGACCTGTTCAGAGTTCTCCCCCGTGTTTCTCACGGCACGATTATAATTGCTGTCGCTCAGTCGGGGGCCAACAAGTGTCCCGGGATCGATGCCAAACGAGACAACGGCCTCAGCCCGAGGGAGCTAACACCGCTACCCACTGCCCGGGCAGCTCCTCCCTACCCATCCCCATTGTGGCCGCGACAAATGAGATAATTGATGAATTCATCCCTCATTGTCCCCGGCTCAAATATTTGTTTCAAGCAGACAACGGGAATTTCCGTTCTAATCGCGCCTTTAGCAAAGACCTGCTACAGTGTAAGGCCACTTATCGTCTTTTAAAAAAACACGTCTATTTATATCGTGAAGTCCTTGGCGTAATCAGTTTGTATAGATTTCCAAATGATGTTTTTATTTCTTATGTAGATGACATTGGTGACCCAAGTCGCTGTTCGTCGTGGGGTCGCGGCAAGCACTTACCAGATTTTTAGCGAGCAATTATCTTGTCAGTGCGGATGTCTGAGCGGTCAGCTGTCGAGGGTCACAAAGGCCGATCACACTTACTCACGTCCAGCATTGACGTTGTTATTGGGGAATCCCCGCTGTCACCGTGTAGACTGTATCGAGATGATTTCTGTTCAGTGATAAATTAAGGGGAAATTAGCGCGTCCTAGGGGAGACAATCAAAATGTTAGCCGAGTTATCCCTCTCTCCATGTCTTGACGACCCTCCCACAATGATGGGTTTGTATTACATTTGCGATTCAATTTGTTCTTATTCGGTTCTTTACAACAATATTTAGAAGCTTAACCCTAATTTTAACGTTCTTGCCTTAGCGGCTAAACCAACAGAGCAATTATTTCTTTCTCGAAGTTATTTTAGCAGTTTGAGATGAATGTTAGATAAAGGATGAATATAGTTGATCAAAACCTATTTCTAAAGAACTTTCTAATTTGTAATTAATTTTATTACTAAATATATTTTATTGTAGGAAACTTAAATTTTAATAATGCCAACATGTAACAACATGTACTGCCCCCCCCCCCCCCCCCTCCCGAAAATTTCAAGTGACCCCCGGGAGAAAAAAGTCTGGAAGAAACACTGCTGCATACATAGTAATAATACGTACGTAGAGGACAATTATTACACGCATTTTCTGTTAATTAACGTAAGGTCTCTGACATCTTTTACCACTAAAGGGTGGGGTCGGGGGAGGGGGGGGGGGGGGTGGTTCACATACAACATCACGCTTTTTTTTGGGGGCCATTTTACCCTCACCCATCTCACCCCTGTCCCACGTCTTTGCAAAAATGATGCCTTTTAATTTTAATTGTCCGTATTTTTGGCCAGGTGGAATAGCCCCCCCCCCCCCCCCCCCCCAACGTAAATATTCGTGAATTTTGCATAAATAACAGGTTTGGCAGTTAACTTAACTTGACGACTAGCCTGACATTTGATTTAAAATGACAACAACGCTGACATTTGATTAAACATAACAACGCTGACATTTAACATGACAACAACGCTGACATTTAACATGACAACAACGCTGACATTTAAAATGACAACAACACCGACATTTAACATGACAACAACGCTGACATTTAACATGACAACAACGCTGACATTTAAAATGACAACAACACCGACATTTAACATGACAACAACACTGAAAATTGATTTAACATGACAAGAAAGCTGACATTTAACATGACAACAACGCTGACATTTAACATGACAACAACGCTGACATTTAACATGACAACAACGCTGACATTGGCCTTAATGTGACGGTGGCCGGAAAGAACCGCAACGGAAAAAAGCGCAACGGAAAAAAGCGCAAAACGAAAAGCGCAACGGAAAAAAGCGCACACGGAAAAAAGCGCAAAGAGAAAAAAGCGCACACAGAAAAAAGCGCAAAGAGAAAAAAGCGCAAACGGAAAAAAGCGCAAAGAGAAAAAAGCGCACACAGAAAAAAGCGCAAACAGAAAAAAGCGCAAACGGAAAAAAGCGCAAAGAGAAAAAAGCGCACACGGAAAAAAGCGCAAAGAGAAAAAAGCGCAAACAGAAAAAAGCGCAAAGAGAAAAAAGCACACACAGAAAAAAGCGCAAACAGAAAAAAGCGCAAACGGAAAAAAGCGCAAAGAGAAAAAAGCGCAAACGGAAAAAAGCGCAAACAGAAAAAAGCGCACACGGAAAAAAGCGCAAACAGAAAAAAGCGCAAACGGAAAAAAGCGCAAACAGAAAAAAGCGCACACAGAAAAAAGCGCAAACAGAAAAAAGCGCAAACGGAAAAAAGCGCAAGCAGAAAAAAGCGCACACAGAAAAAAGCGCAAACGGAAAAAAGCGCAAACAGAAACAGAAAATGCGCAACCAGAAAAAACACAACGAAAAATGTGCAAAAGAGAAATTTAGCATAAAGACCATATGGACTAGATGACACATTTATACATGACTGTTAGGGCTGCTGTGAGAGTGTCGTGTTTGATCACGTGATCTACTACCATTTAAAGCGTACCACTCACCCACACATTCATCCATCCATCCACCCACCCACACATCCATCCACCCACCGACACATCCACCCACCCACCCACACATCTACCCACCCACCCACACATCCATCCACCCACCCACACATCCATCCACCCACCCACACTGCATATAAGTATTCGCATAGATTTAGAGTAGCGTCCCTTTTGTTTACATGTTTCCATTACCCTTCAAACAAAAGTCTATTTTAGTTATATTGAGATTAAAGAATGTAAATAAATAGTATACACCATTCTGTAGAATAGGAACGATTGGGAGGGAAGTGACATTTAGCGCAGTAAATTTAGAGGTTAGGTAGGGTATAATAAATGGTGGGGTTAGGAAAGTTAAGGGGTCCATTCTCTAATAGGCAATCTTTGTCTCTTTCGTACTTTCGTGTTGGTTTATTGTCGAACCTGTCCTCGCCTCACATCACAACAGTTGGGTGACGCTTACCGTGTAATGTTAAAATAAATAGCATGTAATTGAGTTAGTTCGAAGTGAGTTTTCATACAAGCCCAACGCACTAATTAAGGTTGTCGCAAAATGTAACATATATGTAACATATGTCAATGATGTCAATGAATTTTCATTAAAAAAAAGATGTCTAGTACAGTTTACGAAACTTACGAACTTCGCCGATACTTTTTTGGTGGGTAGTTTGGTAAGTATGTAGGCGGGTAGGTGGGTAGGTGGGTAAGTGGGTAAGTGGGTAGGTGGGTAGTTAGGTAGGTAGGTAGGTAGGTGGGTGGTAGGTAGGTAGGTGCGTCATGATGTGAAAAAATATTAAATACAAAATTGTTATTTTGGTGCGAATGAATGTTGTTACGAGAGATATGACGAATGCATGTTTGATGACGCGGATGAAAGAGAGTGAAGTTTTGCCATAGGAACGGGTTGTTATAGTATGCAAGCTAGGTAGTTCGGACTAGGGAGAATGTGAGAGATACTTCGTGTAATGTCGATAGTTTTATGTTTATACGAGAATAGTAGTTGAATAATTATTGACCAAGAAAATAATAGGCATTGTGTAAAGTGATTTTCGCCTGTATCGTGGTGATGGGAATGCAGATGGTAGTGGTACGCTTTTAATGGTAGTAGATCACGTGATCAAACACGACACTCTCACAGCAGTCCTAACAGTCATGTATAAATGTGTCATCTAGTCCATATGGTCTTTGTGCTAAATTTCTCTTTTGCACATTTTTCGTTGTTTTTTTTCTGGTTGCGCATTTTTCTGTTTCTGTTTGCGCTTTTTTCCGTTTGCGCTTTTTTCTGTGTGCGCTTTTTTCTGTTTGCGCTTTTTTCCGTTTGCGCTTTTTTCTGTTTGCGCTTTTTTCTGTGTGCGCTTTTTTCTGTTTGCGCTTTTTTCCGTTTGCGCTTTTTTCTGTTTGCGCTTTTTTCCGTTTGCGCTTTTTTCCGTTTGCGCTTTTTTCTGGTGTGCGCTTTTTTCTGTTTGCGCTTTTTTCCGTTTGCGCTTTTTTCTCTTTGCGCTTTTTTCCGTTTGCGCTTTTTTCTGTTTGCGCTTTTTTCTGTGTGCGCTTTTTTCTCTTTGCGGTTTTTTCTGTTTGCGCTTTTTTCTCTTTGCGCTTTTTTCCGTGTGCGCTTTTTTCTCTTTGCGCTTTTTTCCGTTTGCGCTTTTTTCTGTTTGCGCTTTTTTCTGTGTGCGCTTTTTTCTCTTTGCGCTTTTTTCCGTTTGCGCTTATTTCCGTTGCGCTTTTTGATTTGCGCTTTTTTCCGTTGCGCTTTTTTCCGTTGCGGTTCTTTCTGGGAACCTAATGTGACAACCCATATGTGTGTACACACATTTTGTTCAACCATCCACAGGACATTTTTCTGTCATATTTGAGAAAGTTTTCTAATACGACAACCGAGATAGTTTTTCTTTTCATCTTCCCTTTTGTTTACCAGTGTGTGGTCGTTATAACACTACTCCCATACACACATTGTTTACTAGTGTGGGTCAATACAACGCTACTCTCTCACACACACATTGTTTACTAGTGTGGGTCGTTATAACACTACTCCCACATACACACACATTGTTTACTAGTGTGTGTGTGTTCAATATAACACTACTCCCACACATACACAATGTTTACTAGTGTGTGTGTGTTCAATACAACACTACTCCCACACACACACATTGTTTACTAGTGTGTGTGTGTTCAATATAACACTACTCCCACACACATTGTTTACTAGTGTGTGTGTGTTCAATACAACACTACTCCCACACACACACATTGTTTACTAGTGTGTGTGTGTTCAATATAACACTACTCCCACACACATTGTTTACTAGTGTGTTTGTGTTCAATATAACACTACTCCCACACACATTGTTTACTAGTGTGTTTGTGTTCAATATAACACTACTCCCATACACAGACATTGTTTACTAGTGTGGATCAATACAACACGACTCCCATACACACAAGTCTATCTCTATCTTACATATTACAGCCTATGTAATTGTTTTAATCTTACATTTCAGATTTCACGATAAAATGTTACCTCTTGAAACACATGCACACAAGACGTGGGGCAACTTTGGATGAAATCAACAAGTTTTTCGTGGATTAGGCAACCATGTTTTTTTTGTGGATTAGAAGTAAAAATTTTCGTGGATTAAGCAACATTTTTGTAGCGGTTTAATCCACAACTGCGATGTCCATCTGTAGCCTACTAGTACTACTGTGCATGAGTAAATCTTTCAATTGCAGCTGCCTAACCTCTGAGGCAGCAGTGTGTAAGCTGTAACGAGGTGAACTCTCAGCAGAAGGTTACCGCTGTTGTAGCCGATGGGACAGATTATCGGTGAAGCTGACTGGAAAAATTATCGATGAAGTCGACTGGAAATAAAAAAATTACCGAAAAGTACCAAAAGTACCACAGTTATGGCAAGATTTAGTGTTTAGATATTTAAGTCGAAACACCGACATCACAAAAAGTTAAATTCCACGAAGCAAGTGGTGATTTGATGTACTCTTGTATTAGTATAGGTCTAACATGAATAACATAACATAATATAACATAATTTGGTGTGTTTCATACCAATACCCGAAAAGGCCATACTAATAGGGCTGGTAAGTAGGTCACCAACCAGTTCTATGGACCGTGCAGGTTTTATTGAGCCGTGGAACATGTTGGTGGTCTACTTACCAGCCCTATTGACAACATAACACAATTTAACACATCCATTTTTGGAAGGTCCATCTACGGACACTGGGAGGAGAAATATTCCAATTAATTTGTTTATTTTCTCTTAATCAATATCGATTCTATTTTTAGAAAATCAGTGCTCAAGTTATGCTGTACACAGAGGGTGATGCAGATGTTGTCGCGTGAGCGATTCGTACAAGCCCCCCCCCCCCCCCCCACCCCCTTTAAGAGCAGACGTCATTAGCCGCCAAATCGCACGCTGTGAGTGGCATCAAAGCTGTCAAAAATACTTGTTCACTTCCGTTTCTCATACAGCAATAACAGAACAAAAAAAAAAGCCGCAAGCTTTTATTGTAGTTAGTTCTTATTATATTCCTTTTAGACATTCGCGTGTTTCAAAAAAATAAATAAATAGCCATTTTCAGTAGCCAATCATGTTACTGCGGATCGTGCGAGGGACCCGCCTTATGAACCAATCAAAATCAGCGTTGCTGGTTAGTCGCGCGAGCCGTGCAGACACAACACAGGAGTTCAGCTGTCATGTTTACCGTCGAGTAAGTCCCGCCTTTCGGCAAATTGGACGCAGTTGAGAGCAGGCGATGATAAGATTAAGAAAATTTCAAACACCCCTCCATTCCTCTCCTGAATTGACGTTTCTTTTGAAGCTAACTTTGGCGTCTGACATAGTGGAACGGTCCGCCCGCGCTGTTGTGTGCTGGCCTATGTGACACACTGACGACCGATGTGTAGCAGTCAAGGCGACATCACGCAGATCTCCAGCGTTTTGAGTCTTGTGCTAGGATGGAGCCATAGTAATACTATAGCTGACATCTAGAAATTCATAGACTGGATCTAGATTTCTAGATTAGTTTAAAACAGCACAACTGGCATTTAAAGTAGTATTAGTATCGTGGCTACATTCTAGATCTATAAATTCAATATTTACTGCAACAAATTCAGCAATTTGGGATTATTGTACCACCCCAGATCAAGAAGACCATATCCAGATTTTTGGACCATTCTAATCTAGAAATCTAGATTTCTAGATCTAGAATCTAGATTTAATCTAGACTAGACCTAGAGTATTCTAGAGTCTAGATCTTCAAAATTAAGGTTTGTAAAAATGATTTTTTAATATAACAGTAGATCTAGATTTAGATTCTAGATCTCTTTATGTATAATTAATTATAATTAGTCGAGTCTAGTCTATGTTATGTAGATTCTAGATCTACAGTCTACACTCTACTGTCTACAGATATTAAAACTTATAATTTTATTTTAAATTAATAATATTTAATATTTTTATATTAATAATTAGTCCTATACTAGATTTTTCTACTAATCTTTGTCTAGTCTTTCACGTATTTCATAAGTTATTTAAAATGTCTAGATCTAGAATCTAGACTATAATATTTAAGTTAATGATGTATGCCATACATCATTGTATGGAAAGGGTTGTCCCATTAAGAATAAAGAAGGCCCGATAAGGCTTTTTCGTATTGTCTCATGCCCCCCCCCCCCCCCCCCCTTACTTGTTTTTACATCTTGATATAGAATCAAGGTATCGATCTAACAGTCTAACTGTAGGCTGTAGACTGCCCAGTGTATGTCGTGTAAAGTGTAAAGATTAGGCCTCTAAAACCCTAATCTAATAAATCCTAAGTTTTAGTTGGGTTTGGACCCTGTCAGAATTCCGCATCATTTAGATCTAGATCTAGCTGAGTATCACAGAAAACATCAATTTAAGACGTAGATTCTAAATAGGTAGATATCTAGATCTAGATCTAATGTTAAAAACTTAAACCGGGAAAGGCTTGCTATGATTTCGTTTATGACACGAACTTGGTGAGTACAGCAGGCTACATTTCTGTTAAGTTAAATAGTACCAAACGGCCATCATTGGCTTCCAATGTCTCCAGGCATGATGGTGATGGAAACTTAATTTAATTATTAATCGTTTATTTTTAATTAATAGAGAGCTAGATCTAAATTTGTTAGGGTTCAGGTAGCTGCTTTTAAATTAGGTTAGGTTAGTGCTAAATTACGTTAATGATAATTTGTTAAGTGATAGGTACGTTAATGATAGGATCAGGTAGTGATAGACTGATAGTGTTTTTAGTTAGATTAGGTTTGTGATACCCATGGGTTGATTATGATAACTAATAATGGTCACTGGTTCCTACATTACGGAAGAGTAGCTTTACTGAAGAATAAACGCTAGCATTTGACATATAGACTGTCACAATTTGGTATTACATAATGATAATGCAATTGTTCTCTCTGAAAATAGCGAAATTATTAGAATTGCTTTTATAAATACCTTTTACATTGATCAATATTCATTATCAATCTGGTTAAATCAATTATGCAGAGAGAAAATTGTTGTAAAGAAAAAATCTATTTGTGGTGGGATTATACTAAAGTGTATAACATCAACATTCAGAACCAGGGCTCAGCTCTTCTAAGATGTGTAACTATAATGTTTTGATGATAAACATGCGAATAGAATAATTCATTAGATGTGTAAATGTAATGTTTTGATGATAAACATGCGAATAATTCAATAAACGTGTAAATGTAATGTTTTGATGATAAACATACGAATAATTCCTAAAATGTGTAAATGTAATGTTTTGATGATAAACATGCGAATAATTCATTAGATGTGTAAATTTAATGTTTTGATGATAAACATACGGAATAGAATAATTCATTAGATGTGTAAATGTAATGTTTTGATGATAAACATGCAAATAATTCATTAGATGTGTAAATTTAATGTTTTGATGATAAACATACGAATAGAATAATTCATAAGATGTGTAAATGTAATGTTTTGATGATGGACATGCGAATAATTCATTAGATGTGTAAATTTAATGTTTTGATGATAAACATACGAGTAATTCATTAGATGTGCAAATGTAACATGTAAATAATTCCTAAGATGTGTAAGTATAATGTTTTGAGGAAAAACCAGCTAATAAAACAATTTTTTTAACCATAAACATGTCAATCAAACTCAAGCTTAATTTACATGCGTCGTCAAAACTATTGTGATGGTAGACGTAAATTAAAATTTTTGATAAGTTGGCCTATAAAACAAATTAAAACATCCAGTCGACTAGCAGGATGGAACGTGAAGTGAGCTAGTGTTTGTTCAATTAAACCCATGTCATTCTTCTCTCCCCCCCCCCCCTGGACAAGTGCCGATCTGGCACTTGTCGCCATGTGATATTACTTAGGTTCATCTACACACCCATTGTCACTCAAATTCCCACAGCCACGCCTTTAAATGTCCCTCACCAGCAGAGTCCCGATAACCATAGTTTCCATGTCACCTCGACCCTCTATTTCTCACACCCACATCTTTAAGCTAGGTGAGACTTTGGGCTCAGTTCGCTTAGTCGTACCCTAAGTTGTGTGCTTAGGTTTAGTTTGTTATGAGATTCTAAATGATGCTATGATTGATACTCTGACTACAATTAAACGGAAGTTGTTGATTAGCGATACTTACATATTCGAATAGCTAGTATCGCCAATAACGATACCAAAGTCCTAACCCCCACTCCCAGACCTATATTTTATTGAAGATACCGTCTATCCTATTGTGTAGGTTTTAATAATAAAACCATTATCAAAAAATTTGTTCATTTTTACAAGAAACCCAGTCACTACCCACGTCATAAGAAATTTGATTAAATCATATTTGATCAGTGCGCATCATTTTCCGAACAATAAAACGGTTTATTCCCTAACATTCTCCATAAATTAAATGCCAGTCATCTACATCACTCTAAACAAAAGTCCTCTGATATAGATCGATTCTGTTTTTTTTTTCACTTTATTTCCATATCTGTTAAAATTCACTGAGTTCAAGTATTGTGTAAATTAAACGCCGGTGTTCATCACTTTGTTTTGTAAAGAACAACATAAGAGTCGGAGGCAACCGTGTATTACCAATACAAACACTGAAACCACGGAACTAAAGACAAATAATATACCGAAAGACATTTTAAAAATATTTCATAAATAAAATTAGTATAAAAAATTAGTAATAAAGAGAAATACGTGAACACGGACATTTAAAAAAAAATGTATTAAGTATAGGGCATACACCGTTTAAATATTTATATAAAAAAAAATACGCAGGAAACAAAATAATACTAACATGTTTAAACATATTTAACTTTTAAAAAGACAGAAATCTACAAAAATAATTATTTATATTTAAAATTGTACACAGAAATAAAATACACGGAGATCTTAAAAAATGCGCAATTATACGAGAATTAATCTACACGGAGATATATTTAAAAATGGAAATAAAATATTTGCTAGTATTGCATTTACACTGCTAAAATATTTATTGCAATGTTTAGTGTAACATTATTTTTTAAAAATTATAGACATTTTTAATATTGTGTTGTTTTTATTATATCTATTAGATAAATGTTATTTATTATTGTAAAAAGCAAGCAGCTTCATGCTGATGAGCACGTGACTAATTTGTGTTATTAGTGTTCTAAGTTTTATACATCTCTGAATCAGCTAATTAATGTTTTACTGACGACATGTTGTATTTTTTTGGTCACAATTAGGCTTGGCGGTTGTAAAATGCAGTCAAAGCCAACAGCCGACCCCACACCCTCTCACAATGATGACGATTCAGACATCAACATCGATGACGTCACCGATGACGAAAGCTGTGACGTAGACGATCGATTATCCCCCTCCAGCAGGGATTCGAACTCCAAATCGGAGGACGAGGACGGCGGTGACGCGCGAGCCTGCCACAAGGACTTGAAGGCTGGCTTTAAACAGGACGATTGCTTGCAGGCGGCGACGTTACAAAACTCGCCGTTAAAAACGGACATTCCCGAAGATGACGTCACCACGTGTCATGGACGTGAAGACCGACTGGTAGACTACCCGAGGACAGTGCCAGACTACCGGCACTTCGAGGCTCAGTTGAGGGAGGAGCGGTTACGTCACTCCACGTTCATGGGTCAAGGTCACTGGACGGAGCTGTTGAACCAGCACCGACCACTTCACCCCCCACCCTTCGTGGTGCCTGGCCTGGCAGCGCCGGTCTCTCAGCGTCACGTGGTTTCCGTTGGTGGACACCACCACGATCTAGGTCAGCGCTGTACTAGCCCGGATGTAGCTCACCCTCATGACAGTTTCACGGGCAGGGGTGGTCACGGCGGGCAGGAAACTGTGGACAACAGCAGACGTGATGCAGGACTGGAACACTTACATTCCCAGGGTAGCCTCCAGATTTCATCACCCCCGGGCCTGGGGGTGGGGACCCACATCTCAGCCTTCTCAAAGACCAACGGCAGGAACTCGCCCCGCTCCCCCGCCTACCAGGACAGGTCATTCTCCCACGCTGGCGTGTACCCACCTCTGAGGGAAAGTTCCCCACCCTCCCCGTCCCACGCCCACCACCACGCTGGCGTGTACCCACCCGTCAGGGAAAGGTCCCCACCCTCCCCGTCCCACGCCCACCAACATACTGGCGTGTACCCACCCGTGAGGGAAAGGTCTTCACCCTCCCCGTCCCACGTCCACCACCACGCTGGCGTGTACCCACCCGTGAGGGAAAGGTCCCCACCCTCCCCGTCCCACGCCCACCACCACGCCAGCCAACCTTGGGAGCACAGACCACATAAGAAATTACGCACCATAGAGGAGACGGTGACGTCAAAACAAGATCCAAGCGACATGTACCGACGTGACGTCACCGGCACGGCAGATGAGATACGCGACATGACGTCACCTGGCCCCGCGTCATCACCTGGATCTCAGTTTAATTACCTAAGAGGTAGGTCCACTTTTTCTTGTATTATAAGATACAGGTCCGAGGTCAAACATAGGTCAGGTCAGAGGTCACAAACAGCAAGCGACAATTAAAACAATAGAGCTCGTTTACTAGAGGAGGATGGTTTATATGCAGGCAGATTTTTCTTCTCATATACATCCAGGTAGTTAACTGTACACCGTACATAAAGTAGTTTTAAAAATGGCCATTCCCCAAATAAGTTGCCTATACCTAGATATATATGCGCACATGTATACATAATTGTCAGTCTATGTATGCACACATATATTATAGTACGTGTGGTGTATCTGTGTGATTAATTGTTGCCCATGAAATGACAAGTGTAGGATAGTTCGTCAACTCCTCTATTAGCCGTACAAGTCCCCCCTCCTCCCCTCAACTGTTAGTCTGGCGAAACGCGTCATTGCCTCCCCTCATTTGTCACACAGTAACGGTCTATTTAGCCAGAGGATGAGAACAGAACGCAATCACCCCGCCAACACACGAGCCGACTGCGAGGGTGCCACTAATGACCGTCATTAGAAGAAACCCCGGCCCCCCCGGGCGCGCGATGTGGCGCAATAAACCTAGATAAAAGAGATGATAACAAACGAGAGGAATTGACTTGTTGCTCATTATGACAAATTACCGTTGACTTGTTGCTCATTATGACAAATGAACGTCTCTGCTAAGTAAACATGACGTCATGTCACGTGGGTCAGAGTACCGAATTGATGTGGGAGAAACATGGGGTCTGGGTTCAAATCTCATTGCCACTGTGCTCTATATGTTGTTTGCAACGCGTGGCTCTCGCTTGGGCTTTATTTGAGTTAAAAAACTTGAATAGTTGCACATTATGTTGATTTATGTTAATTTATGTATGTGACATTATGAGAGGTGGAGCATTTTAATGTAATTGTTCCGTATGTTAAAACTTATGCAACATACGTGTGGTGGTTTGTTGTGTAGGATACCCAAACCCCGACTTAAAGTGCCTGGTTCGAATCATACTGGGCTCATTGACGAAATAGTAGCAGTGTTTCTTTCAGACTTTTTTCTCCGGGGGGGGGGGGGGCGGTCAATAGTAAAAGTATGTGTTCTGCATAAATTCCATGGGGGGGGGGAAAGGGGGGGGGGGGGGAGCAGGGGCACAGCCCCTCCGAAAAGATGCCTGGAAGAAACTGAATAGTAGCTAGCCATTAGAAGCTTGAGGCCCGTAGCTCTCAACCAACAAGGTGTCACAAGTGTTATCTGGCCACCTTAAGATGGTCTGGCGGAGATCAGGAATATTATCAAGCACATAGGACAAGCATAAAACCATTGTCATACTCCAGGGCCATTTTGAATACATTAAGTAACTCGATGCCCTCCTTCATCGCCCCCACCACCCGCTTCCCGCGCTTTTATGCCGAACCCGACCCTCTGACATTGTCCATCATCGCACCAACCCTCTCCACGTCTGCTTGAGGAGACCTTAATGCCGTTTTAAGCGTCCAGTCTAGGGCCCCTAATGTTTTTATGACAGATTAATGTCCCTCCGCGGCTGACCCGTCTCTGGATCTCCCCCCGTCCACCGCCGGGATGTCCAGCCCCTATCTGTTGCTAGAATCAGAACCCCCCCCCCCACCACCTGATGGCCGCCATAAAATACCTCCCTCCAAGCGCCGTCTGCGACCCTTATTTCTGATCTGATGTTGAAAACCGGAAATGGCTTCCAGTGACGTAATGACGTAATCCTACGGCAATAATTAGCCCCCAACGACCGGTAGGGATAATTCACGTCTACAATCATTAGCCAATCAAATCTTTTCTTCTCGGCGCTATCAAAAGACAGGCAGCCCTCGTTCCGCCTCATCTAGCCCCAACACAAGGTGTGAGAGAGGTGGTAAAAGGCCGACTCAATCGGCCCATATCCGCTTGCTAATCGAATTAACGGCGCCTTTGATGTTAAAAGAGCGGCTTAGCGATATTTGGAAGGAGAAAAGGAGATCGATACCGCCGCTAAAGTATTAATGATCAATCACTCGGGCTCATAGAATGTGTAAATAAACAATTTTAAAAAGTCGTTGCCGGTGGCTGAACGGGCCGTGTTGCAAGTGTTGTTTGTATTGGCGCAGTTAGGAGCGGCGGGTTGTAGTGGGTGTTGGCAGTTGGGTGGGGTGTAACAGCAGTTGGGTGGGGTGTGACAGCAGTTGTGAGGGGTGTAACAGCAGTTGTGTGGGTGTTGGCAGCTGGGTGGGTACTTAAAGCAGCTGTGTGGTTTGTTATATAGCCGATGTGTGAGTTATATAGCCGCTGTGTGGTTTGTTATATAGCCTATGTGTGAGTTATATAGCGCTGTGTGGTTTGTTATATAGCCTATGTGTGAGTTATATAGCTGCTGTGTGGTTTGTTATATAGCCTATGTGTGAGTTATATAGCTGCTGTGTGGTTTGTTATATAGCCTATGTGTGAGTTATATAGCGCTGTGTGGTTTGTTATATAGCCTATGTGTGAGTTATATAGCTGCTGTGTGGTTTGTTATATAGCCTATGTGTGAGTTATATAGCGCTGTGTGGTTTGTTATATAGCCTATGTGTGAGTTATATAGCGCTGTGTGGTTTGTTATATAGCCTATGTGTGAGTTATATAGCGCTGTGTGGTTTGTTATATAGCCTATGTGTGAGTTATATAGCGCTGTGTGGTTTGTTATATAGCCTATGTGTGAGTTATATAGCGCTGTGTGGTTTGTTATATAGCGCTGTGTGGTTTGTTATATAGCCGCTGTTTGGGTTGTTATCAAACAGGTTTAGCTGTAGAAAACCACGTGGTTTGTTGTGGTCAGACATCAACACAATTCTTCCATGTACAGGAATAGTTTACATGTTGTGTATAGAATAGGCGGTAAAACTGGTGTTTTTCTCTTACTGACCCATGCTCGCCGCACTGTTCCCTTGCTGACCCATGCTCGCCGCACTGTGTTCCCTTGCTGACCCATGCTCGCTACACTGTGTTCCCTTGCTGACCCATGCTTGCCATACTGTTCCCTTTGCTGACCCATGCTCGCCGCACTGTGTTCCCTTGCTGACCCAATGCTCGCCGCACTGTGTTCCCTTGCTGACCCAATGCTTGCCACACTGTGTTCCCTTGCTGACCCAATGCTCGCCGCACTGTTCCCTTGCTGACCCAATGCTCGCCGCACTGTTCCCTTGCTGACCCAATGCTCGCCGCACTGTTCCCTTGCTGACCCAATGCTCGCCGCACTGTTCCCTTGCTGACCCATGCTCGCCGCACTGTGTTCCCTTGCTGACCCAATGCTCGCCGCACTGTTCCCTTGCTGACCCAATGCTTGCCACACTGTGTTCCCTTGCTGACCCAATGCTTGCCACACTGTGTTCCCTTGCTGACCCAATGCTCGCCGCACTGTTCCCTTGCTGACCCAATGCTCGCCGCACTGTTCCCTTGCTGACCCATGCTCGCTACACTGTGTTCCCTTGCTGACCCATGCTTGCCATACTGTTCCCTTTGCTGACCCATGCTCGCCGCACTGTGTTCCCTTGCTGACCCAATGCTCGCCGCACTGTGTTCCCTTGCTGACCCATGCTCGCCGCACTGTGTTCCCTTGCTGACCCAATGCTCGCCGCACTGTTCCCTTGCTGACCCAATGCTTGCCACACTGTGTTCCCTTGCTGACCAATGCTCGCCGCACTGTTCCCTTGCTGACCCATGCTTGCCACACTATCAATTGTCTGTGTTCCTTTGTTGCCTTTTGAATCATACGTGAGTAGCACTAAAGTGCACATGACCAGAACTCAGCAGTAAAAGAGTACCCAGACTTGAGTAGCACTAAAGTGCACATGACCAACACCCAGCAGTAAAACAGTACCCAGACTTGAGTAGCACTAAAGTGCACATGACCAGAACTCAGCAGTAAAACAGTACCCAGACTTGAGTAGCACTAAAGTGCACATGACCAACACCCAGCAGTAAAACAGTACCCAGACTTGAGTAGCACTAAAGTGCACATGACCAACACCCAGCAGTAAAACAGTACCCAGACTTGAGTAGCACTAAAGTGCACATGACCAACACCCAGCAGTAAAACAGTACCCAGACTTGAGTAGCACTAAAGTGCACATGACCAGCACCCAGCAGTAAAACAGTACCCAGACTTGAGTAGCACTAAAGTGCACATGACCAACACCCAGCAGTAAAACAGTACCCAGACTTGAGTAGCACTAAAGTGCACATGACCAACACCCAGCAGTAAAACAGTACCCAGACTTGAGTAGCACTAAAGTGCACATGACCAACACCCAGCTTTCCACACGGCGTGTACAGCTACTCTCTGTCTGGGGGTGGGGTGGGGGTGGGGGGAGAGAGCCGGTGTAACGTGACCTCTATTTTTAGCAGCTGGCTCGTGGTCGTTAAACTGACCAGGGTGTTGTCCACTGGCTGACGTCATCAGTCGCACAACGAACCCCTGTATCACCCACTTTACGATCGGCCAGAATTCACGTCACCTTGTAAAATAAACCCATTCACCCCAGTGGTTTAGTCTTAGCAGTGTCTAGACAAAGAGGGTTTGAACTTTGTGCTGTGTGGGGGTGGGGTGGAGAGGAACGGGTGTATTCGGTAAACTCCCCACACAAACTATGCCTATATTGTAGCAGGCCATAAAAACCAAGCCACCCAATTAATGTTGCTCTCAATTAACCGGCTTTGATCGTTTGGCGTAATTTCATGGGTCAACTTTCAACACCTGCAGATCAATGGAGGGCGATTTGAGCTCTATACACATACGCGTCACCAATGGGGGGTGGGGGGGGGGGGGGGGGTTACACCATATTGATGCAGATGTGATTCGTTATATTCAGTTTTTCTGTATTTGTTGTCTATTGTCCTCTTGATACGTGTTATATGTTTGTTTATGTTCGCCTTTACATTGCTAAGTCAGTTTAAATATTGTACTGTACGATGTACTTACAAATAGTATATCTGCTATTTTATTAGTCCAAATTCTACCACTGAATAATACATACAAACTAACTGCTTTAGGTATGTTTTGTTATAATTATTCCCTTAATAATGATGTAATTCTATGAGTCCTATATTATTTTCTTTGTTAATGTTACCCACTCACACAAACAATTAACGCAGCACCGAAAACATCGCTCACCTGTCTTAATGGTGTCGATTTAAAACTTGTCTGCGAAAGACTTTTTAAAGATACGCGTTATGTCCCTTTAGTATTAGAGCGAGTATCGTCCCCTGGACAGAAGAGCGCTTTTAAAAGTGTAAACAGCGTCAGTGAAGCATCGGTTAAAGGGGAGAGAACACCACATTGGATTGTTTAATTGGGGGTATAGCGGTGTTATCGCTTCATTGTGAACAGGCTGGGGAGGGAGGGGGTTAAACGGGCAACTTTAATTGGCTGGAAACGTTTATCCCTGATTTTTCTACCCCAGCACCTAACTATTGCGCAGTTCACACTGGCGATCATGCATGCGCAGTTCACACTGGTGACCACGTATGCGTGCAGGCGTATTAAAGTTTGAATGATAAAGTTGGGAGATTTCGTTTCTCAGCGCGGGATTAGAAGCGGAACAAATCCCAGGTGATACGGCGCGGAGACGGTTAGCGGTTGGCCTTTGGGGCCTGGTATCGAATACATGCGGGAAGAAAAAAAAAGATGGCTATTCAGTTTGATAGTTCAAGGAATGGAAACGGCAAAAATGTCTGCATTGGCAGACATGGTGTTCACTTGTTTAAAAAAAAATCGTAATTATATACGATGTATTAAACTGTGTATTAAATCTCATTAACTGACGCATATAGGAACACTATATTGCACAAAGGTAAGAAGATGCAGCCCCAAGCATACCATACTTCCACCCCAGCTGCTATATACCACCCCTCTGCCCAAAGTGCCACCCCTCTGCCCAGTGTACCACCCCTGTGCCCCTCTACCCAGTGTACCACCCCTGTGCCCAGCTGACCAGTGTAGCACCCCTCTGACCAGTGTACCACCCCTCTGCCCAGTGTAGCACCCCTGTGCCCAGTGTACTACCCCTGTGCCCAGCTGACCAGAATACCATGCCTCTCCCCCAGATTCCCCCACCGACAACCAGTCACGGCGCTACAGGACAGCCTTCACCAAGGACCAGATCACCAAGCTCGAGCAGGAGTTCTCTAAGGAAAACTACATATCCCGCCCTAAGAGATGCGAACTGGCGGCCTCCATGAACCTTCCAGAGAGCACTATCAAGGTCAGACCTCGTTGTTTTTTTTACTGATCAATACACAAATCTATTTTTAGAGATTTCTCTCAAGTACTGCAACCTCGCCCTCCCCCACCTCCTCGCTAAAAAAAATCCCACCAAAAGCCTAGATCGGCACCTACTCACACCAACACTGATTTGTTTCTTTATATCCTTTAGGTGTGGTTCCAGAACAGACGCATGAAAGACAAGCGGCAGAGACTGTCCCTAACCTGGCCGTACGGGATAGCACCGGACCACCACCTGTACGCCTACCTCGCTGCGGCCGCGTCGGCTTCGTTCCCGCACGGTCCCCCGGGGTCGAGTCAACTGCCCAGTCAACCCGCCAGTCTTCTCTCTCTACTGTACCCCCGGGGCGCCCCCTACGTCAGCCCCGCCTACCAAATGCCTCCAATTTTCCCCTTTACTCCAGGAGACGCCCCAGGTGCCTCAAGTTTTTTAAAATCCCATATCCCAGAACACGAACTGGCTTTCCACCCCGAGAAGCGAGCCAGTTTTGATGACGTCATGTTCAGGAAACCGTTACCCAGAATTCCAGTGAACCCTTCAGGCGGGACTCCCCCCTTCCCATTCATGCTGCCAATGTTTCCTTTCGGCATCGACTGAGTTCCCGCATCATCCGGGGACAAACTGTCTAAAGCTGGACATTGGGCCCGTGTATCGTACCAACTCTCTATCGCTGGACATTGGGCCCGTGTGTCGTACCAACTCTCTATCGCTGGACATTGGGCCCGTGTATCGTACCAACTCTCTAACGCTGGACATTGGGCCCGTGTGTCGTACCAACTCTCTAACGCTGGACATTGGGCCCGTGTGTCGTACCAACTCTCTAACGCTGGACATCAACATTGGGCCCGTGTATCGTACCAACTCTCTAACGCTGGACATCAACATTGGGCCCGTGTGTCGTACCAACTCTCTAACGCTGGACATTGGGCCCGTGTGTCGTACCAACTCTCTAACGCTGGACATCAACATTGGGCCCGTGTATCGTACCAGCTCTCTAACGCTGGACATCAACATGGGCATCAACATTGTGTGTCGTACCGAGGGCGGAGCAGCATGACAGTGCCCCCACCCCCATCATGGATTTGACTCCTACCAATGACACACACCCCATCTCGCTACACCACTGCCGGAGCTTCTGATTTGGGCCCTAGATGTCAGTCATTACATTTAATATTTTTCTTTACCCGCAACCTTTGTCGCGCCCAAACCTATCAGGCGCCCAAATCTATTGGGAGCCCCTAAGGCTCTCCATCAGTGGCGCCCAGGCCATAGGTCGCAATTTGCCGACTTCATTTACACCAGTTTCTTCCCATATTAGGAAGGAAGCAATGTCAGATTTCTTACCACTCGACTTGTATAAAAAATGTAAATACAAATTCATGTTTTTTTTTTGTGATGTTTGAAATGTCAGGTGACTAAAGGAACAATTATTTCCCCGTTCAATGGCACCTAGACCCTACCTACGGTAACCCGCTATGGTACCCAGAACCTACCTACGGTAACCCGCTATGGTACCCAGAACCTACCTACGGTAACCCGCTATGGCATCCAGAACCTACCAGATAAATGTACATATATGTAGCCAGGATATTTTGTGTTGCTGATTGTTGCTTGAATAAATAAACGATGTAATGGTCTCAGGGAAAACTATCTGTTACGTGTGTGCTTGTCAAACTAGATTGTACTCACCATGACACCAATAAAAGGTTTACAGCATTCTTTTGTTTTCATTTTTTTTAAAGTTTTGTCTCCTAGTCACATGAACAACACGATATAGATCCCTAGTCAACCAATACATGCACATGAATGACCAGTAGCCAACTGACACCATACATGAAGTACCCCCACACGACCAATATATCATTTGACCTGCTGGTCCAACAAGCCTCGCCGCGGACGTCGATCCAGCAATCAACTGCTGTATCACGTTAAGTTGTGACTTTGTCACTACCTCTCCCCCCTCTAAAGTCACAGCCCTAGTTCGTGTTTAATCATAGCTTACCCTCTATCCAAGTGACAGACTGATGTGTGACTATCAGCTACTAATGGCTTAGTCTTTCCAAAAAACATTTAGTCGTAGTCACTTTAGACCAGGGGTCTCCAAACTACGGCCCGCGGGCCGAATGCGGCCCGCGAGGTTCTCTCATCCGGCCCTCGGAGATCTTTTTGTCCACGGAAAAAAATGTTTGTTGTAGGTGGCTGCGGAAAAATGCCACCCCAATGAGATGTCTGGAAGAAACTCTGGCCCCCGAACTTATATTTGATAGTTAATGCGGCCCTCCGGCTGAAAAGTTTGGAGACCACTGCTTTAGACCATCGTTTACAAAAATTAAAAATTAAAGCAATAAGCTCCAGGGGTCTTGATTCCATCACCATAATTTATGCCAGGTACCCAATAGCGCTGAGTGAACTCGTGCAGACTCAAACTCCAGTTTTGTAGTCCAGAACTCAGGTCAGCAATCGCCTTCTCACCCCCACCCCCACTCACCACCCCCTCCCAAACAACAGCCAACAACATTATCGGCCTCTACCAAATCACGGCCATGAACATCATAAATTTGGAACAAAAAGCACCTACTTGATATCTAACGAGCCTTTTCTACGCCCCCATAGGTTTAATACATTACAATGCCTTCAAAATCATACAAACAAATTCAGTTAATTGCTATGAATAAGCTGGTTTAGTCAGCCACGTATCTTTGACTATGACATCATCGACCATTTGGTCAGTGCTGACCTCTAGACCAGACATCGACCATTTGGTCAGTGATGACCTCTAGACCAGACATCGACCATTTGGTCAGTGCTGACCTCTAGACCAGACATCGACCATTTGGTCAGTGTTGACCTCTAGACCAGACATCGACCATTTGGTCAGTGCTGACCTCTAGACCAGACATCGACCATTTGGTCAGTGTTGACCTCTAGACCAGACATCGACCATTTGGTCAGTGCTAACCTCTAGACCAGACACCACCCGCCGTAATTTGTTTCATCAAATCACGTGACCTCTCGAAAGTAAACCATTCTAAACTCCCGAACACGCTGTGTAGATATTGTTCACCCAAGCAGGTGAAAATAAAACCACCAGCCCGCTAATTTGGCCACAAAACCACCTTTCATCCCCCTCCGTACCGTGCAAGTTTTAGCTCTTTGATGTGTAACGATTTATTGAAATATGCTGTGTTTACCCCCTCTCGACCAATGGATGCAAGGAATGGAATCAGTCAACCAATCAAATGTCAGTTCACAAATATTGGTTTGGCGCGGTGTGGATGGTCAAATTGCGTTGACTGGTCGGGTGAGTTATTAAACATAAGTGGGATTAGGTCAATTTGTTACTCACCTGGCTTTGGGGGGGGGGGGATAGCTCACACTATGGATAGGTCACTATGGATTGGTCATAATGGATAGGTCACTATGGATTGGTCATAATGGATAGGTCACTATGGAAAGGTCAGCATTGTTGAGTCACGATGGCTCCTGGTGACAATCAACTTTGAGATTCGGGGTTACTGTTAGCTACTTGCTGGGATGAGAGATCATTGTTTGCCAATTTTTGGGTCACCATTTGATACTTGTGGGGTCAGTTTTTGCTATTTGTGGGGGTCAGTGTCTGCTATTTCTGAGGTCAGTGTCTGCTACATTACCCATCCACCCCACCCCCTCACACACATTACCCATCCACCATGACCCCGTCTGATTTAAAGCCTGAAATAATTCAGATTTGTAACATAATTTTTTTAAATTTTTGTATAAGCATTTCATTGCCGGCCATAACTGTGAGTAGAAGCCACAAATCTGGCATGCCGGAGGATGTGATATACAGAATGGGTTAGAGATTGTAGAGTTAATACCGTGCTAGTAGCTTTGTTTTTATTTACAAAAACGCAACCAATGTGCACGAAATTCACTAACTATGAAGTTCTGAAAAGTAGAAAATAAAACAACTTAATCGCGGCGTATGATACGCCGCGGGTCAGGTCGTTTACAAATATTTAATTATGATTGGATTTTGGGACCCCCTAAACAGCTTGCTCATCTCTTGATAAATTGATGTGCCCTCTCTTGTCGTGCCCTCTCTTGTTATGCCATGTTTTTTCGTGCCCTCTCTTGTTATGCCCTCTCTCGTTATACTTTCTGCTATGCACAGTCTCGTTGTGCTCTTTCTTGTCGAGCCCTCTCTCATTGCGCCCTCTCTCATTGTGCCCTCTCTCATTGTGCCCTCTCTCGTTATGCCCTCTCTCGTTGTGCCCTCTCTCGTTATGCCCTCCCTGGTAAACATCCCCCCCCCCTCAGAGCTGACGTCCACTGAACCCAGGACCGCGCCACTTAGATGACGTCACGTGGGCCACGTCTATCCTAATAACGACCATGTTACCACAGGCTCGTAATACCTAAATAAATAATTAACCCGAAACAAGGGGACGCCACTCTCAACAGATCCATTAATATTTATCATAAGGGTCGCTCACTCCCGTCCCGGCGGCTTCTGATCTGAGGGCTGCCTTTGATCATCTTAAGCGGCCGAGTTGATCGCACACGGACGTAATTGGCCACATGAACATCTAGCGTACCGTTTTAATTAATCTTGGCGCTATTGTTTAATTAATCTTCAGCGCTCCCATTAACCACGATCTGGCTTTCAACCCAACCACAGGTAGACGGGGATTATGTCGGCGTACAATAGGAAGATTAAGCGATTATTTGGCCGTCCAGGTAGCTATGATTAAAAGCCGTCACAATCAGCCCTCCCGCCCCCTCACCATATAGATAAAAAAAAGTTTCAAGATTACACACGCTCTATTTTGTAAACATTGGACAAACCCCTCTAATATATACCTTTAGACCAGGGGTCTCCAAACTACGGCCCGCGGGCCGGATGCGGCCCGCGAGGTCATCTCATCCGGCCCTCGGAGATCTTTTTGAGAAAAATTTGAGAACAAACTTGGACCTAGAGTCTGTTGTCGGTCCTCGACAATGTTTCTTTCAGGCTTTTTTTCTCGGGTAGGGGTACTTGAAATTTGAATATATATATATATATATATATATATATATATATATATATATATATATATATATATATATATATATATATATATATATATATATATATATATCCGAAGAGATGCCTGGAAGAAACTCTGGCCCCCGAACTTATATTTGATAGTTAATGCGGCCCTCGGGCTGAAAAGTTTGGAGACCCCTGCTTTAGACAAAGCCCACTATTATATAACATTTTAGTGTCAAATACATCGCATTTATACAAAGATAATACTTAAAAAAATCACACTATCAAATTTCTTTAATTACAGAAGTTTTAACGTTTATAAATAATCTAGCGACTGTTGTGGTTTAACTGCATGATGCCATTACTTATGTGTTACCCCCCCCCCCCCCCCCTCAGATTATGAGCGTCGGTTTGTTTTTCCCCCCTCTGATTATAAGTGCCGGTTTGAGTACCATTTAATTTGTCGATTTTTTTTTTAGAACTTAATTATTAAGTAGGGGACTTTACAAAGCTTTCTCTGTCACGAATTTGAAATTGGAATACGACCCTAATTTGTACAGTTTCAGATAAAACAATTAGTATCTATTGTACAAGATTTGAAATTGTTTAACTCGCGATTTGAATTAGGTCACTAAACTGCGAGTTACTAAATTCAAAATCAGAAAATTACAAGTGAAATGTGTGTCACGTGGGGGGGGGGGGGGGGGCACAAACA